ATACATATATAAATAAAAAATTTCCATATAACAACAAAAATTATTATGATAAAAATCTATTTTTTTATAGTTCTCTTCACGACCTTAATTAAAGGTTGTTCATATTTGTAGAACGATGCTATGAAAATAATATCAACTCCAAAAGAAGTCATCAACATTTAATTTACGTCAATTTTCAAATTCAATCAATACATAAAAATTACATTAATAAGTGATGATGATAAATTTGTTATTGTCAAACCTATTGAGTTGACTGAAAAGTTATAAATAAAAAGTTTAGAGAATAACTAGGTAATCTCATATAAGTTCTATAAAACAAAAAGTAGTCGTGACCCTCTACATTTTATGGCAATTTTAGTACAATCGAATGATCACTATATTGTAGAATATAATTCTCATATTTACAGTTCTTTACCATAAATTGATTCAATAACAGAAAGAATAGATTAACTTAATTCTATTTGTTATGACATAATTTAAGTCGACTCTATTTTTATTGTTGATTGTTAAATGGAAGATTAGGATTATTTTTCAATTGGACAGGATAAATTTATTCCAATTTAAAAGGCTAAGAGTTAATAGAGGAAATTGGATTAAATAGATAATTACATTTTAAGATGCACTGTTATTGAATTAGAATTATACATTTATGAATAAAATACAGTTCAATTTCTTAAAATTCTTGATTAGAATACAATGAGTGAATTATTAAGAAAAGAAAACTTTAAACTTGAAATAAGAGATTTTAAGACTCATACAAATGGTTAATTCAGTATTTTGAATGCTTATGGAGAGTTGATAATACTTGAATATAATAGAGATGATAATTAATGGGTCTTAATTGAAAACTTGGATACAAAGACTTAAAATGCAATTGGATATGATATTGATATAGAAACTAATTAATATGTAGTAATTTAAGAAGAAATTCTTTATTTCAAATCAAAAACAAATTAAGAATATTCTGTTAATGTAGTTTTAAATGAAAAAAGTAGTGTTTATTTAACAAAAAATTATATATTATTTTAAAAGTCAGATATACTAATACTTTATGATTAGAAATTGGAAAAGCTTTATTCAATTCTAATGGATTAATCTAAGTATAGAATTACATCGAATCCTAATTTTGATAGTATAATTGCTTTGGGTGATACTGAAATTTATCGTTATACAATTAATAGTGATTACTATTTATAATTTAAATCTGATAACCTTTAAGAATAATACAGTCAAATATAAATAGTGTAAGGTCTAAGTCCAACTAAGTGTTAAGTCACTATTTCTTATAAAGTAATTTCAACAGATACAATGGAAATGTTTTAAACTTAAGAAGCATCTGCTTTATTTGCATACGGAGTGAATTTAGATGAGAGGGTTGCATAATTTCAACCTGTTTATTAAGGACCAAATCTTCATTATGAATTTTATAATAATGATATTTTAAAAGTGCAAGTTAATAATCATTTAGATGTTGAAATTGTGAATTTAGATTCAAAAGATATTGTTTATAGAAAAGCTATTTCAAATCTTAATCCATAGTAAATATATTTTATATAATAAAAATAAAACTTAGATATTGAGGGTTTCAAGTGTGAGAATATTTCATAAACAAAAATTAATTGTAATATATGGTTTGAAAAAATCACCTTCCTTAAATTAGAAGATTCATCAAAATAGATTTGGTGGATGAATTAAGATGGGCTTTATTTTGCAAATTTAAATGATAAATCAGTAAATATATATTATTTATCTAACTATGAAAAATAATTTGAATAATTTTAAGTTATTGAATTACAAACTCAAGGAAACTCATTAAACACTGATGGAATTCATTTGTTTATTTTAGTTGAAAAAGATGTTGAAATATATACAATCAATTCAAAAGAATGGAAAAAATTATCCATAGACTTTAAAGGTGTTAGTTAAGTTTTTTCATCACCATATTAAAAAGATATTGTATTTATCTATGATGATATTAAATTATCTTTATATAGCTTACAGTATTAAAAGTTATCATTAATTTGGTTTACATCTTTTGAAAGTAAAGAGGTAATCAAAATTGCCATAGCACATTATTATTTCTCCATTTTGATAAAAATTTAAGAAGTTTATGAAATTCTAGTTTTTAATATTGAAAATGAAGGTCATATTTATTTCTAAAGAAAATTAAGTTTATATCATCATGCAAAAGCTGATATCTCATTTTTTGATTCCAATTATTTTAATGACTAAATATATATTGCAGGAACACATGACATAACTGGAAAATAGGAAATTTTGGTTTATAAAATGGCTTAAGTATCTTTAAACTCTTAATTCATGATTTTAAATATTACATCTTCTCTAATATCAGCTGCTAATAATTTTTTATTTATTAATGATTTTAGTGCATAAAAATTTTATTCATATTTCCTTGATGGAAATTATTTTGTCAGTACTGCTTTTGATACTTCTTATCAATAATAAACTTACAATAAAGATATTTAATTATAAGGAAAAGTGTCTAATACAGATTTTAATAGACTTATTAAAGAAGTTCCAATTTCTATAATAAATAGTGGAACTTAATTATTTGGAATTAAAAAATAATTAAATTTTACATATGATAAAGATGAAAATAGAAGTCATTGTTTTGAAACAGGATAATCATGGTATAATGGTTAAGCTTTTGATATTGAATTATAAGAACCTTATGGAGATATCGAATATTAAAAAACATTAATTAAATAAACTGAAACTATTTAATCTAGTGAATCTATTATGGAATTTGATCTTAATACTTTAGTTTAATTAATCTAAAATAAAATTATTTTAATTAATAAAGCAGATTTTTAAACTACTCAATTTTCATTAGATAATAAATATACATTTAATCATATTCTTTATATTAAAGATAATCTTATTTATGAGGAAGCTATTTCAAATGATTAATATTTGCTTAAACTAATTTATTATTAAAATTCTTAATTTTATTTAAAGGAAGGAGAAATTACTTATAATTATAAAATTAAAAAAGCTTATCAACATTAGGATAGATTTTTTATTTGGATTCTTAATTATGTAATAGCATATGATACAAAAGTTGATTGCCTTGATTTGAATTAATATCAAGTCATTAAAAGAATTTTTCCATTATCTGATCCAGAATCAATTGAGATTCTACATATTAAGGATCAAATTTACTATTTTTTTTCTATAAGTTTTTCTGGATAACTTGAAATTATAGCTTATGAAATAATTAAGACTTCTTAAAAAAATTTTTTTTTTGGAATTTGATTTGGTATCTGTTCTAAGTAGGAAAGGCTTATTTTTACCTTTCAATTATAGATGTAAAGGCATGTTGTTGACAAAGAATCTAATTGTTATAGCTTTTGATAATTTTGTTTCATCTTCATTTAATTATAAGATAGATTGTTCAAATAATTATTTATGTGATGTTAGTTATTTTGATTATAAAGAGAGTTATTAATAGTTTAGTAATTGGAATTTAACAAATTAACTTCCAAGCTTATATTTAGATTAAGATATACTTACTTTAATTTATTAATCGTAAAAGAACTATGAAATATTGTATTACGATTTAAATGATAATGGAAATGAAAATGTAATTGGAAATGTACTTAAGTCAGTGATAGCTTATTTATAGTCAGAAACTATTAATTAATCAAATATTGTTTAATCTTTTGTTTACAATTATAATCAATAATTACATTTATTAAGTTCAACAAAAAACAACTCAAAATTGTAACACTTTATATTGAAACGATCCCCTTAAATTTGTATAGATAAATAATCTTTAACCTAGAAAGCAAATTTTTAATTGAAAAACTTAAATTAAGAAAAAATTATAGAATTAAACTTGAATATAAAAATGAATGAGCCTGAAACTTCACACATTAAATTATGGATAATATTAGGGATTATATTGATAATAGTGATTGTTGGTATTTCAGTGACTGTTTATTGTTAAAGGAAAAAAAGAAAGTCTGTTAGATAAGATTTATTAATAAAGAATTGATAAATTATATAAATATATAAATAATGTAAAAAGAGAAAGAAGAAGTATAATCTCCAGATCCTTTGAATAAATCATAATCAAATTCAAAATCAAGATTGAATTCTGAATAATCATCTTAAAATTTGAATTCTCCAAAAGAAATAAAATCATAAGAGAATCCAAGTAAAGAAATTTCATAAATAAATTCTATTGAAAAAGAGCATTTACATGTTGAATAAGAGTAAGAACTAAATCAAGAGTAATAATTATTAAAAGAAGAACGAGATTAAGTACCTTAATAAATTGTTTAATAAAATAAAGGATAAGATCAAAATTAAAATAGAAAAAGTTTAGCAAGCTTGAGAAAACAACGAATATCAATTTTAAATAATGCTCATCGTTTTAAAGGAAAGGATTAAAAAGTTAGTTAGACTTCTTTTACTTCCTTTACTTCTTTATCACCTGATTCTCCAGACACTTAAGGAAATAAGAGATAGAGTAAAATGTAATTGACTCAAAGATAATTGGAATTAGAGGAATTAGAGAAATTAGAGAAGAAGGATGAAGCATAAAGAGTTAAATTAATTGAGTGGTTAAAAACTGAATTTATGTTTAAATAAATACATCCTTTTGATTTGTTTACAGCATTTGATGATACTAGTACAGAGTTTTAATTACGTTAAAGTGAATTAGAATAAGCATTTAAATATTTAAACATCGACGTTGGTGAGGATAATTATCGAATACTCAATAAATATTATAAAGTTAAAGATGCAATAAGTACTTTGAGGTTATGTTATCATATTGTAGAAGATTTACCTGAATTAATGTTTATGACAATAAATCATATAATCATTAAGTATCGTATATTGATTGAAATCTTTTTTGATGAAATTACATAATCAGAAAAATTATTTACATCAGATTCTCTTAAATTATTGAATAAAGAATTTGAATGGGGATTTGAAGAGAAGCAAATGTCTGTTGCACATAATTTAATGACAGATTATGGAAATACATCAATCAATCTTTAATTATTTAAGCAAAAGCTTTAGTCATGTCCTTAAGCAATTGATTCTAAATTAAATAATGAAATGTATTAATCAATTGTTAATATGATAATTTAGAATGATTCTATTGTAACATTCAGTTTATTGCTGTAAGATTAAGATTAAGCATCATCAGGAGAAGTTGCTTTATATATTTTCACTGATATCTTATCTATGTATATTGATAGAGCATTATCAAGAATTGAATTGAATGCAATAAGAATATTTCTTTAGGTTGAAAGGGATGAAGAAGTTGTAACATATAATAAATTGCTAACTGATGCTCTTAAAATCATAGAAGATTAAAAGACTATACGATAATAATAATCTGCAAAAATATAGAAATTCTAGTTGTAATTAATGTAATTGTACTTTAATTCAATTGATAATGTGTCTTAGTTATAAGAGTAATATTTTAAAGACAAGAACAAAATGACTAGGGAGCAATTTATTAAATAGACGTTCTAAATAACAAATGGTAAAATAGATAAAGAAAGTGCAAATTATATTTATTAAATGATTTTGGAAAGTAAATTGGATCAGAAAAACATTATGGTTAATGATTTAGAATTTGATTAGTTTATGAAGAAGAAAAAGTAAGAGTTATCAATTTAGGAAAAAGCAGATTAAATTAATTCTCCTTTGAATTAAGAATAGTTTAGAGAGTTATATGAATTATAAAAGAATTTGAATAAAAAATCGTTATAACGATTATCAGTATAAATCATATAGAGTCCAAAGTCTTCGGATAAATCAAATTAAAATTCTCCTGAGAAATCGGACTTAAAAAGAGTTTCATTTAAGAAATTTCCAGATTAGAAGGAAGTTCAATAAGATTAAGAAATAAAATAAGAAGAGAAAGCATTAATTTCTACATAATAATTAAAATTAGATGTTTATTAATATTTTGAAGATTTGGACACAATTTAATTAAAATATTTGACTCAATAATAGATGTTTTTTGGTTTATTAAAAGTAGGGATATTAATAAAAGGTTAAACTTTAATGTAATAAAAATCATATGATTTTGGAGGATTTGAGAAATTTGTATTGTTGTAAATGAAGACATTTTATAATTCTTAAAAATTGATATACTAATTGAAATAAGAATTTGATTAATATAAGGATTCAGAGACTGATGTAGTAAATATGCAATAATTGAAGTAAATAAAAACTGATTAAAAATTAGGTAATTATTTGAGAAAGTGAATTTGAATGTAAAATTTGAAGATGTGATATTTATATATTAGACTTTAGATAGATAGAGAAGTGGTTATATAAAATTGGAAGACTTTTTTTATTTGATTCATTAACATCCATTGATAGATTATAGATTAAATGAGTTATTATTTCGAGTAAATGCTAAATCAATAATTAGATGAAAGGTTACTATGAGAATTCATTAAGAGCATAAAGAGTGTTTTATTAAAAAATGCCATTTAATTACATAAGACCATTTACAATAAAGGCAAATCCACCAAGTTATTCATTTAGATTTAGACCTAATGTATTGGGGAAATTTGAGGTAGAATAAAAAGGGAAAGCATGGAATGTATATAAGATAAAGATATTATCTGGAGAAGGTATACCTTCACCAGAAGAGAAGAAGAATTGTTTCAGAAGAGAAGTGATTGTAGGAATATATGATAAGTTTTATAAAGAGTTTATAGAGAATACAGTGATAGTGAAAGCAAAGTATTAGATGGAGAATGAAGATATATGGGAATTTCCATCAAGGAATAGGAATAATGGTTTTTTTTTGAATTGTGAGAGATAAAATAATGATTTGCATTTAGTGTTGATATTTGAATTGATAAGTTATTATTTAGAGAATGGAGTAGTATAGAAGGTAAGTTGTGGATTTGTAGAGATTCCAATATCTCATATAATATAATAAGGAACATTTGATTTAGCATTAAAAGGAGGATTTATAGAATAGGAGATAGCAATAAATAGGAGTGATATAAGATGTAGAAGAGGAGGGTTTGCAAATATAGTTGCAAAACTAAAGGGAGAAATTCAACCACATTTAACAATAAGTTCTACAAAACGTTCTCGCAGACCTGGATTGCTTATAGAATTAGAAACAATGGCTCCATTATGTTTATGTCATAGAAATATGACTTAAATAATTTATGCTTATAAAAGATTTTCTAGAGATATCTTAGAAGAGGAAGGAGATGTTCATATCTAATCATTGAATATGTTTCTATTTTCACTTGATTGTCCATATATTAATAATAGAATCTGTAAATTATGGATTCGTACTATTAAAGGAAAGATGATTGGGAAAGAGAAGAATGTATTTTCTATTCTTATTGGATAATTACAAAAATTAATGAAAATGAAATCTTTTAATTTCAACCCTTATTCACCTCAAGAAATCTTCCCTCCTGATGTAGGAAGAGTAAAAAAAGATGTTGTTAAATCAGTACTCTTAAATACTGAATTCTTAATTGATTCCTCTTTCGAAAACAAATTAAATCTACCTGGAGACAAGATTTTAGATGAGTAAATCTAGAAATATGGTGAAATATAAGAATAAGGAGTATTTGATAATGAATAGAATCCATTTGATCCTTATAAGAATGGACTTAATTTAAAGGGATATGAACCTTATGTAGAATAAATCCAATGACTTATAACTCATTTTAGTATTAATGATTATTATTAAAGATACATTCTTTATCTCTATTTCTATCTCTATTTCTTATTTCTATTCTTCCAATATATTACAACAAACATTAAACACAAAATCACAATTGCTATAAGTAATACTATAAGCAATGTCCAATATCTATTATTTAACATATTTTTATACTTTATTGAAGATGATTATTCAATATTGTATAATTATACAATCATATTACTAGATTAAACTAAATTATGAGCAATCAAAACTAATTACTATTCACGAGCTTCTTCAAAAAATGTTAATGTGGCATATTCTTCTACTTTATACAATGATAAATTCTTATTTGATAATTATAATTAAAGCAATAATTAGCCATTGTCATCATAATGAAGAGAAAAGAATTGACTAAAAGATTCTTAAATTTCTATTCCTCCAAATTATAAAATACTACCAATTTTTTCATCATTATCAATTATTTTATCTAATCTATACAAACAAATTGTATATTATTGAGTAGATTCTTTTTTATAAGCAAGTGCTAAGTAATTTTTTACAATTGATGATGGATACATCACTTTAAAATCTGAATATCTCTATATCAATTAAGTTATTAATATTTCCTTAAATAATTCATCCTCAAATCTTACAATCATTTTTAAATGAGCAATCTCATTAGTCAATAAAATTATATTAAATATTTAATAATTTTTATTAGCTTCATCACCACATTTTAGAATCTTATAATAAGTAATTCCTTCATTTACTTTCTCACCTATCCATGATTCTAAACTACTCTTTGGAGATATGCGGATTACATCATTTATTTTTATTAATGATTGTATCATGTTATTACTGTATTAAAAATCTTAAACATATATCCCAAAATTTAATTCATTCATAAACACTCTCACTATATTTCCAAATTAATATGTAATAAAACTTCTTACTGTAAAATTTGGTTATTTTGATTTATCTACACAAGACATCTTAGAAAAACTTAAAAAATTCGGAGGAGAATAATTCATTTTCCAAGAACATAAACTAGTTTATTCATCCTATTCATTTGCATCTAATAAAATAATATTATAATAATCTAAAATCTCTATCTGCGTTATCTTTCTTAATATTCTAATAATTATTGGATTATCAACTAATCTAAATTAAGCTTTATCTTCTCTTATTACAAAAGCAATAAAGGATCGCCAAAACATTTGAGTTGTACCAGTTATAAGAATTGTATCATTTTTACACCAAATATTTTGAGGAGTATAAGTTTAATCCAAAATAAAATAAAAACGTTAATATTTTACGTAATGTTATTGATCTAAAAATATCAAACTATTTTTAGTTAGAATTACTGATAGATTTTCTTCTAATTAACATTCACTTAAAATATCATCATAATGATGAACATTTGATATCTAATGAACTTTCTATGTTAAGACAATTTAATCATTGCATTATTAACATTCTATCTTGTAATCAATCACCAATCCATTAAACCAATTATTTGGAATTTACACATTCTTTGATTCTAAATATAATTTATCACTAACTTAAACTGCTTCAATATTTGTCATCAAATTTAGAAAAATTACATTCTATACTTATTCTATTTTTCCTGGAGAATCTATTGTAAGATAAGATATCTTTAATTCTTTTCTATGTAAGTATTTAGAATCAAATTTAGATGTAATTATAGCTTGAAAATCCTTAGCAACATAAAAATTCTTAATTTAATTCTATGAACCTGCATGAATTAATAATCCTGACTAATGAAATGCTGTAATACCTAAATTTAATTCTTTTTCTGCATACCATCCCAAAGGTGCACTAGTTAATAAACAATCTCTTAATTCAACCTAAGGTTAATATATTAATAACACTGTCTATTATAAAACTGGAGTATATGCTTTTATAATTATTAAATTCATTTTAGACAGTATTTCAAAGGGTTTGTGTAATACATAATGAAATAAAGGTATTATTTTTAAAAGATTTATTTATTACATTTTTGTACTATATTCTCTAATTTCCTATTTGTAACCATAATCGACAGCAACAAAGAAGGTTTCATCAGTCAATCCAACTGCTAACTATTCACTATTAATGAATTGAATACAATCCATTAATTTAAAAGAATTTAAGAAATATCCTATATAGATATTCTACTCCCCAGTTATTAATAATAAATTTTATTAAATCTAAACTGATTTAGGATTAAATTAGAAGAAAGGAATATCGAATGTTGTAATAGTATCAATAATTTATTCTGTAAATAATGAAATGATATCAATTTATTATTTTCTTTATTAAACAACAAAAACATGAGTCTTTGATAGTGTAAATGAAGTTATTTCTGAAATATCATCTTTTAAACTTGTACTTATTGTAAACATTGATTTAACAATAGATTGATTCAATTTATAAAGTTCTAGAGTATGTGAAAATTTAGATATATAACCAAAAATGAGAAAGTTTTCATAAACCCATTAAAAAGAATCTTTACTTAAAATTCTATTTGGATAAAATTAATGAACCTTCTAACAATTAAATTCATTATAAGTATTGCTAATTGAACATTGATATAAAATGACTTTGAGTTTTTTAGATTGAACCAAGATGTAAACATTTTATTCTACTTCAAGTATATCAACATAAACAGAATCATTAGATTAATCATTTGATTCAGACCAAACAATTCCTCTAATTTTGATATCTTCCATATATCCAAGTTATAAAGAAATACTTTCATCTTATAATTCAATTTGAGCTTTGATATTTGAACCAGAAACTCCTATTTCCTTAAAAATAGGTACTTAAGGATCTGTCGGATAATTTATTAATTATTTAATTTGATGTTATAAATTTATCTTCGGATATAGTTTGTTATCTAGATAATCATAGATTATATAATTAATATTCACTGCACATTAATTTAATTCGGTAGCAATTAATAATAATTTTTGCATTTCATAATTAGCTTTATTGTTAAATTGCATAATTAGGTATCCATTTGAAATAAAAAAGGATTATTACTAATTTTATTGAACAACATAGATTTATGTTTTGAAAACATTAAATGTGATTATTGAAGGATCATCAAATATAATAGTTTTTATTTTGATTGTAGGATTGATCTAATGAATTATTAGTAAAGTTGAATTGTAAAGGCAAAGATATTACTTTCTATCATATTCTCCAATAAATTCCATTTTAATTTTGATTAGACTTAAATCTTAGAGCGTCCAAGTTTGATTATATTTTGCATTTTTATTAATTACCATCAAATCATTAGTATTATATGCTATAGCCATTTAATAAGTATTTGTATCTTTTAAAATACAAAAAGAAGAGTAATAAGCATCTTATGATGAACTATAAATTTAATCAAATTCAAATTAATTTATTGATTTGACTTTCAAACTAATGAGTCCTCTTTTTTAATCCAATATTAATAGATCATTCAAAGCATATTTTGTTTAAATGAATGAATAAGTTCCATTTGTTTTCAGTAAGTTATTTAATAGACTTTAATCTATGATGGTTCCTGTATCTTTAAGGGAATAATCATAATATAAAATAATAACTTTGTTTTATGTACTTACTAAAATGAAACCATTTTCAACCTCGACATCCAAAATCTATGCGTCAATATTAAATTCTTAATTTGTTCTTGCTATCCATAATTTAGTTCCATCAACCAATAGAATGACATTCTCTCGAATAATTCTAACAAATTAGCATTTCTGAAATGTTGAATAAAATACAGTTTTAATTGATGGATAGCGTATTTAATATATTGTATGTTTCTTTAAAAGTAATGCTCTTGATTCTACATGATAAAATCTATTCTTCATTGTGTGCATATCAATAAAGGTTAAATTTGCTAATTCTTAATTTAACTCATACTCAAATCTTCAGTTGTGTAATCTGATGTTATGGGATTCATAATTTGTACAATATTAAAATTATCGTAAATCCCATTCATGGAATACTCAACATTTTCACCTTAAACCAATTCACCTAAATCTAATTCAATTCTTTCAAAAGTAGAACTATACAGAGTAATTTGATTGACTCTAATGATATTCAATCAATTACTGCATTTAAGTTAAATTGATTCTACAATTAATTTGATCAAGAGTAAATAATTTAACATATAAATATTAAATTTTTATTAACATCTCTAAATTATTTATATAAACTACCTAAGAAGATGGATATCAAGATAATCAAATATAATATTTTACATTTAATCAAAATAATTGAATTAATTATTTAATCTTTACAAAGAATCTTAATATATAAGTTAGCTTATAAATAATAAAAAAATATGAACTTATAATATATATTACTAAAACTATTAATCCTTGTTTCTTAGTCGTTTAATATTTTGATAGAATCCTTCTCATAGTAATATAAAATAGGAAGATAAATAGATTAAGTTAAGTTAAATAAAAAATTTATTATTCTATCAGATTAGACTCATTAAATATTTTAGCTAAGAATTGGATCATGATGATTAAAATAAGAATAACATTTTTTTTGACTGTTCCACTTTATTTAAATTGATATTTAATAAATATGGACCAAGAAGATATTAATTTGAAAATTATAAAATTGAATAGTTAAATATTTTATAAATGGTAAGCTATAGTTTTTTCTTGCCATTTATAAATGAATTTAAGAGCAATATTAGATCATTTAAATTAAGTGAAATAAAAATAAGAGCTAAATTTAATTAGCATGCAAGAGATAACCAATCATTTTTCAGATAATTTCAATTCTTTAGAATTATACAAAAATCCATATAATCAGTTTATGATATTCAATATAATATTTAAAACTTATCTTGAATAAAATCTACATACAAAAACACCATTGTAACTTTAAATGATAATTCTATATACTTTATATTTAAGTCTTGATACTCCTTTTGTTTAAAGGGAACCTTATAATTTATTCTTTTTTATGTTCTATAAATTAAGTAATGTTTGTGGATACTTCGAATCTTAAACTAATATATATCAAACTTGAATAATAAATCATTAATAAAAAATAAATATATCTTCCTCAACTAAAGATTTCTATATTTCATTCATTATTGTAAATATTTAGTATTTTGTAAATTTTGATCTAAATTTGTGTTTTTTCTATCAGCCAACTCGAATATTATACAAGTTTATCTACCATTTCTTAATTAAATGAATAATCTGATAAAAATGAATAATCGGGTTAAAATGAATTGTTTATCTTAATATTTTTATATTCTATTTATTGTTTATTCTTTAAATAATTGCTCCTAAATTATTTAATTTAATAGTTTGATCATTTATCTATTTACTTAAAGAATTAATTTATAATAGCTTAGCGTAAAAAATAAAAATATTCAAAATCAGTCAATTCATTCATAATTAAATTTTTAAAAGCTTTGATATTTCCTTTATTTGATAAGATTCAATAAAAATTTTCTGATGTGAAAATTTTACGATTTCAAGATTTAATAATATAGATATTAATTTGAAAAAAATGTTAAAGAATAAAATTATTCAAAAAAAGAATTGTATAAAATAATTGAAATCTTTCCTTCATCATTTCTCATAACAAGAAAAAATTAAGTAAAAAATTTATAATATTTTAAATATAATTTTTTATTAATCAATGCCTACCTCTTCTTGGGATGTTTTTCTTAGTTTTTTAGAGTACATTACATTAATGCTCTTAAAAATGTTCCTATAATATTCAGTCAACAGATTTAATTAAATATGAAAATTATTTTCTTTAAGTGATTTTAATTCTGATTTGACTAATTTGAAATTTATTAGATGTATGATTTTGCTTGTTTCTTAAAATTCATTTACAGTTTCTTATAATTTGATTTTTAAAGCTAATTTATTTGCTTCACATACTTTTTTTCTAATAATTTTTATTATTTTGTTTATTAATGTTATATTTTTTATCTAACTATTTTTAACTTAATCTGTCGTTTACTTTAATTATTTTTAGATAGAATTTAAAATTCTTCATCCTTTCTTTCCATTTTAAAAAATTTTATCTAAATCTTATGTAATTTAAATTTCTAAAACACAATTTGATATTTTATTGATTATATCCTTTTTATCATCTTTTTATGTTATAATTATTACTTATTTTAATATTTCTTATATGTTTTAAATGATCTAGTAAATTATCTTTCATAATACTAATTTTAAAGAGATTCAATAATTTAATACTATTATTTTCTTATTATTTTGTTTTTTAGAACTTTGAAAATAATAATAAATTTAGCGTTAAATTTTATTTAGTAATTACTAAATTTCATTTCATAGAAAATAAAAACAAAATTTAAATATTTTTATTTTTATTAAAAATTTTAGACCATTCTCAAAAAATCATGATTAAACAGTTTTTTAACAAAATTTTCACCTAAAGATTTATTTATACAGTTGTTATAATTTGTACTGAAAAAATAAAGTAGAATTATTAATAAGAATCTATTATTTATTAAGTTTATAACTAACTATTTATGAAATTATCCAAAAAAAAAATTTACATTCTTTTTTAGACTTAATTTATATTTTTATCTAATTCATAAGTTAAAAAAGGAGTTAACAACTACATCTATTGATAATGTTATTTTATAAATAAATCTTCTATTTATTAAATTAGTTAATTTCAATATTAATGCTTACAAGCTTATTTTTACTTATTTAAACCTTCAATTGGTATATTTTTCTAATAATATTTTCTAGATACTTGCAAAATTTCATTTTTGATGTTAATACTATAATCAATTTGGTAATTTTCGTTTATTTCTATAAAAATACAATCTTTTTCCAGAAACAAGATTAAAAAGTTATTTAAGTGAACACAATTAACTTTAATGATTTTTTCTGAAAATACTTGAATCAAGATCTAAAAGTGCTATCATTTATCTAAAATTTTAAAACTTTCAGAAGAAGTATATTGGATATTGGATAAGGTATTATATTTGCATATAATTTAATCCAGATGTTTTATATATAATAAGTATCAATAACTCATTCATCTAAAATTTACATAACAATTATTATATAATTTAGTATATTAATCATGAATTTTTCGATTTCTACTACGTTGAATATTAAAATTATATTTGTTCTCCAATGCAATAATTAATGAATTTAAAGATGATTAAATTTTGAATATTTGGATAAATATTGTTTAAATTCAAAGAGAAATAAGGATAATCTCAAATTAGACCATAAAGTTGTGGAAATATTATTAAAGATCTAAAACCATTTAAATTTATTAAAAAAAAAATGAGAATAAATACATAAATAACATATTAATAATAGTTTTGTTATGGAAGGAAGACTTGATTTTAGGATTGATTAAATGAGAATATAATTAATATATTTTACTTTAAATTTAGATTAAATTAAGCGAGATGTTGATAAAAAGTTTAAAAGTCACAATTACAAGATTATTAATTTAAGTGTGATAATGTAATTTATTATTAATGTTTAATCTAAAGGGAATATATTTTAAATTGAGCGAAGTATATATTTATTTATTTATTCATGCTTGATTAATAATGTTAGTATTTCACATCTGAACAATCTCATCAATATCTTTGTTAAAGAAGAGAGAATCGTCTATATCCAAAACAATATAGAGCAAAAAATAGACTTTTAAATTAACTATTAGATAGGATTGAAATAAAGCCTATGCCTTTTTAAATAATGTCTATTAGTAATATGGGCGATGTTAGTAAGGGTTATACAGAGAGTGATATAATTTAAGAAAATATAAAGGTACTTATTGATTAAGAACATATTCAATTTCCACATAATGAATTATTAGAAAAAGCTAAACATTGTTGTAACTTATTAGAATGCTCAAAGGAAGAGATTTAGGATGTTGAAGGATTATCATTATTATTTAGTTAAATTTTACAAATATTGTAGTAATCTAAATAAAAAAACTTGTATTTCATAAATTCACACAATTTGTAGGATGAAAATAAATAAAGAAAGTTAATTTATAATCCTGAAGCTTTAAATAATTTAATAAAAAAACTTAGATCAGGCAAAATATAATCTCAAACAAAATCCTTATTTAGATCAAGAATTTAAACATAATCAATTGGAAAATAGATCTAAAAGACTGAATTGAATGAATAATTAAGTGTTTAAGCTTTAAATTTATTGAAATAATTAAAGAAGAAGTAATTGAATAAATGAATATATGTGTATTTAGCAATATCATTTTCTCGAACTACCTTCCCGTATATGATTTATTTTGTTTACACAATCTACTTGGTTTATAAGACTTTTAAATTTTCATTTAAACAAATCTTGTTCCCTTTTTATTTATTCTCTTTTTATTTAAAACAATAACATGCTTCTTCATTTTCATTTACAAATGTAATTGGAAGTTTGAATATTTTAAAATAAAAAAATAGATTCCAAAATTCAGTAGTATTTTAAAATTTTTAATCAAAAACTTTCAATTAGTCTAATTAAAAGTTTAATTAATGAATGTTAAGTATTTCAAATTCTCCAACATCAAGAATAGTCATTTTTGGAATAAATAAATTTCCACAACCTTTTTTTTTTTGGACACTTAATTGATTGATGTAAGTAATTTGGCACAATCTTATGAAGTATTTCTTAGATTTAAATTTATCTCTTGTAATAAGGACATTCATTTTCAAATAAAAACTATTTTTTATTCAAATCATCATATTGATTTAATTACACATATTCTTTTTATTAGATTAAGTCTTCTAAATTTGGAATTTCTTTTTTTAAGTAAGTCGCCAATTCATAAAATTCCTTGCTATCTAATAATGTCATAACCATATTCTATAGGCTTATGTTTAGATAGCTGTTTATTTATCTCTAATATAATAGTAAGGAGTAAGATAAGGGAAAAATGATTACTTTTTATTAATTGTTAGTTAAGAATTATTTTAATAGCTTATATTAATAGTTTAAATATCGACAAATATTTTAGTATGAAGATTGCATTAATGGATAATAAGAAATAAGATTTTAATTAAGAGATTGATTTTAAGTCTTCTATAAAATCTAAATGCCTTCTGGAATACAGTAATTACTTATGGAATGATTGTCATTAAATAAATTTTAATTATATTTCTACTTTTATGATTCTTTAAACAAAATGGATGTAAATCAAGTATTTCAGGAGTATAGGTCTATTCTAAGGGTGATTTTCTATTTATTATTTTTAAATTATAATTATTACATCGAATTATTTATAATTGTTTTTTGCTAAATGTTAGAAATTATACAATATCTTATAAATCATGATGTGGATCGTAGTCTTTTAAATATTATTGGAATATAATCTGTTTTTCTAGTATAACACAGTACATAACAAATATTCTATTCGGGCAAATAAGGACTCATATCAAAGCGCTCTTAATCTTTGATTTGAACCCAATCTGTCATTTGAATTTATTTCATTACATCTGCCTATTTCATTATTGGACACAAACTGTATTTGAATTTAAATTGGATTTGACTTTCTCTGACTTCCACATTAATAAATACAATATTAGTTATTGGATCTTTATTTGGTTCATTATATATGCAAAGCAAATATAATTTTCCATTCCCTAATATATCTAACGATTCTTTTTATATCATATTTTATTCATTTTATTTTGTCATCTCTTTTTTTCGTTACGATTAAATTGATGTCAATAACCCTATTAAATATTCAATCTATATACTTCTTTGATTTTTTAACATCGGAATCATTTTCTCTCCCAATCTAACCAAACAATAATTCAAAATCAAATTCTAAGCATTTTCTTAATTTTGTTATACTACAATTTCGTATTCATTACACTATATATAAAATTATAATAATTATTTTAATTTAAAATCTAATTCATATTCTTTCTAATTTCTAAAATCTACAATTATATATTCATCTATTAATTAATTCAATCTTCCATATCAATTATTTAATTTATTAATGTAAATTAATTAATTCTATTCTACAAACTCTCCTTTATTCATATTTACAATAAAAATTACACTAATTGACCTATTAATTTTATTATTCCTTTTTAAAAAATATATTTTCTTATTAGGTTAAAATTCTTTTAAAATAAATATTTTATATTAAATCAATCATAAATAGTTTATCCAATATTAATGAATGAATTTCTTAAGATTTAAAAAAATATTCAATTAATTCTAATATTTAGATATTTCATTTTCCATTCTTGACAATTTTTATTATTATTATAAAAAGAATTAACTATAGATTTCAACAACAAAAGTTAAAACTGATTTTAATGCTTTAATTGAATATTATATCTGTTTAATAATCTTTTTTTATGAATATAATTTATAGATAAATTTTTTTTGTTTCATTGAAAGTCTGAGATAAATAGATTCATCAATTATATAATTATTTATGCAAGATTAAGTTTTTAAAGCCATTTATTTGTCTTAGAATCAATTCAATGAACTATTTAGTGATTCTTTACAAGAATCTTCAATCTTAGATGATCATCAAAATTATGATAACCATTTTCCAAATTAAGATTCATTAGCTGATTTACCTCTAGAGTTTAGTTTTTCTGCACTACATTTGATTAATTCCTAAAAATCTATAAATGATGTTTAAAATAAAGAAAAGCCTCCAACTAATGTTTTAATCAGCAAGGAATAATATTAATTGATTATGTTGAAAATGGAACAGAATAAAAAATTGAGTGAATAAAACTAATAAATGATCAAAGAGAACTAAGAATAAATCTAAAAACGTAAAAAACTTGAAGATTAGAATGCTGCAATGCTAGATTAAAACTTTTAAATTAAGAGAGAAATATAAGAAATGAAACAAAAATTATTTATTTGTTAGAGTGCTATAACATTAAGAAAGGATAAATAAATTAATGAATTAAGAAATCAATATAAAGAGCTTTAGGTTAAAGCAGCAAATAAATAAGACACATAATAATCAACAATTCTTACAGAAAACAGTACTGTAGACTCTGATAAATCCAATTCCTATTATTGTAATACAAGTAGATTAGTAAGAGTTGATCAAAGCTCTTCTCATCATTAAACAAAAAAACCTTATAGAAGCAGAAACAATTCTTTTGTAAAAATCGTTAAAAATTGATTTCCATTATCAGAATTCTTTGATTTTTGTTTTTTTCGTAGAAATTTTATCTATTTCAATCCAAAGTGTAATAAACATCCTTCAATGATATAAAAAAAATATCAGAAAATTCGATTATAATTAATACATTTATACTTTTTTTTAATTAATTTATAAAAAGAAATAGCTCTCAAAAGTAAGAAAGAATTAGATTTTCTTAATAAGTCCAAGAAGCAATTAATCAATTTTACGTATAATTCGTATAATATAATTCTTATTCGATTTATTCATTATAAATCTATTTAGAATGATATTTTTTATTTCTTACAAATTATTTTTAAGATGAATTTTATTTATCCATTATTATGTTTATTTAATTTTTTAACTATTATTGAAATGTAAAATTAATTTATCTGATATATTCAAAATTTTATTGATTGTATTAATCACATTATTTAATTGGTTTTATTCTTTAATAAGTATTTTATTATCTAAATTTTACTATAATATTCTCTCTTTATCATGAAAAATAACCAAAAAAACATTTCTAAAATAATTTTATAGCATAATTTTAAAAATTAAATTTGAAGTATAAAAGAAATAACAAACCATATCAATTTATTTAATAGAAGGCTTTTTAAGATAAATAAAAAATATTGTCTTAGAGAAAATATTTATGAGAATGATTTAAACATGAGACTAATTTAAAAAGTTGATATAAAATAATTTAAAATCTCTTGAATTTTAGAGAAAATCACGAATTATATATATATTTAAGTAATTCATTTTATCTTGGCTTAAATTAAATAGCCTTTTAAAAATTTAAAAATGACTACTTAAATGATTTCATATCATAAAAGATTATGGCTCTACAATTAATAGCTTCATATGATCTTTAATCTTAAATTAGAATCTCATCTAATTTCTTAAGAGCAGATTTATTTTTTCCAAGTTTATGTAATGAATTTGCTATACTTAATATTCAATAATTACCTAAAGCTAACAAAAATTATTTTGAATTTGGGTATTTTAATAAGTATTATTTATAAATCTTAATTGATAATTAATATTCTTTTCTTGTATAATGTATATATCCTAATCCAAAGTAAGCCTCATTAAAAAGATTATTTATTTCAATTGCCTTTTCATAAGCTAATATAGCTTCTGTATATTTTTGAAGATGAAAATAGGAATGACCTTATAAAAGATAAATAAGTTCATTTTCAGGTGTAAAATTAAGTATTTTTTAAAATAAAATTTAAGCTTTATCATTTTAATTTAATTATTTCAGAGTAAGACCTTTTTAATAAATTGCCTCAATATACCTAGGTTAAATACGTATAATTTCATCAAAACATTATAAAGCAGAAGTATATCGATTCATTTAAATAAATGAGAGTCCTTTATTATATAGAGCCTCAATATTTTTTGGATCTAATTCTAAAATTTTATTTAAAATGTAAATTGATGCATCATACAATTATAAATGTTAAAGAAGTAAACTCAATTATTAATAAGACTATTGATCATGAATTTCTTTATATAGGAAAATAGATTCTTTATACTGTTATAAACTTTCATAAGCTTTAGCTAATTCTAGTTTAGATTATGTAAAGTTGGAATTAAGATTGATACTTTTTTAAAATGATTTTATTGCTAAATGAAATTCTTTTAATAAACAATAAATGCGACCTTATTTATAATAACTTTAATAATTTGTTGGTTTTTCAATAAATTACTACCGATATTAAATAACAGCTGGATGTTACAGATTTTAATCTTCAATAATCCACAATCCTCCTAATGCAATAACCTTTTCAAAACAGTTTGCAAGTTCAGTAATGTTATCTAAAAAGTAGTAATTGATTCCCAAATTATACCAATACTCTGGTTTGTCTGATTTTAACTTTATTGCTTTTTTAAAATGCTCTGAGGATTTATAATAAGATTTTAACTACATTTGTATTAAACCTTAATTAAATAAAACCTCATGGGTTGCTTGGCATTTACTATAATGAAGTAATGCTTTATCCAAAATTCCTAATTTTTAATAAACTAAACCCAAATTAAATTTTGCTTGTTGATTTTGCGGATTTCTGTTGAGTGATTATTTGAAGTTTTTTAAAGCTTCCTTATAATCAGAGTTTTATAAAAATATTACACCTTTATTAAAATATGGCATAGAATTATGAGGTTGAAGAAGGATACATTTTTCAAAACAAACTTAAGCTTTTTCTATATCATTAAGTTCAAAATAAATTAAACCTTTACTATAAATAGCTTTATAATTGAGACCATCAATGCGTAGAATTTTTTCATAGTTTTTTAAAGCTTTTTTATACAGTTTAAGATCATAAAATATATCACCAAGTTTTTGAATGGCAATAATATATTTAGGATCTAACTTAATAGCTTAAACAAGATTTTAAAGAGCTGTTACAAAACAATTTTTCTAATAATGAGCAACTCCTAATTAATAATAGATCTCTTTTCTATCATTGAAATATGTTTATGCTGTGTTATAACATTCTATAGCTTTATCAATTTGATTTAATGCAAGATGAGCATTTCCTTTATCAAAATAAATATTGATATGATTTGTTTAAAGTAAGGCTTATTCATAACAATGTAAAGCATGAATATATTATTCTTTTTGGAAATAAAGCAATCCTAAGATTAAATATTAAATTAAACCTTTTTAATGAAAAACAATAGGACTTTTTGGGTTTAATTCTAATGCATAATCATATTGTTGAAGTGCTTTAAAACCCATTCCCATTTCAGCAAGTGCCTGACCTAGATAATGAAAATGAATTTACCGTAATGAACTAATTAAACAAGTTTTGAAGAATCAACAGAAAGGGAAGGTAATCTTTTTTACATAAATAGTTAATAATATAATATATCATCTTTTAAAGTTTCTTTTTTTACAACCTGGAATATGTCTTTCAGCAGCTTATTCACTAAATTTACGACCACAAGCAGGACATTCAACTAAATCATCTTAAGGTTGAATATCTACAGTTCCTCCTTCTTTTGCAGCATTTATCATTTATCTAAATGCTTCTGATTGTTTTTTCCATTTTGGATCTCCATTTTAAGCCATCTATTTTTTTTTTTCAATTATTTTATCTTTAACTTATCCCTATTTCTCTAATTTTGCTTATTCTTAATATGCTTATCTATGTGCTTTTGAATTAAATTCTTTCCTTTTTGATTAAAACACCTTTTTACACACTTTAATATGTTTATCTAAGGCATTTTCCTTAAATTTTCTACCACAACCTTCTGGACATTCTTATAAATCAGCATCATCATCTTCTTCAAGAGGTGGAATTGAATTTGTTTGATTTTTCTTAGCTACAGCTGGTAATTCATCTATTGGATTTAATACTTTATTATTATTATTATTATTATATGTTGACTATTATAGTTATTATTATTTCCTGGGTTAAGGTTTATTATATTATTCTGTTGTCTATTAAGCTTACTTATATTAATCTATGATTGGATCTTATTATGCTCTTTCTCTTTTATCAAATTAAGGTTAAGAATTATGTTAAGAGTATTTATATTATTATGTAGGTTAGGATTATTATTATTTTAGCGGAGATTAAGATTAAATATTTTAATTATAATTGTATTAATTATTATTATATTATTATTATTATTATTATTATTATTATTATTATTATTATTATTATTATTATTATTATTATTATTATTATTATTATTAAGATTATATATTTATATTCTAATTTAAATTCTAATTTCCATATAGATTATATTAGTTATATTAATTTGACTAAGTTGACTATTATTATTAATTATAATTGTAATTATTATAAAGATTATTTTGATTATTATTATTTTGCCATTATTAATTATTGCCATACAATCCATTATTAGAGTAATTATTATTATAATTCATGAAATCATATTTATTTTGCAATGAAATAGGTTATTATGTGAAATCATAATTGTTATTTTACTAATAACCATAGGATTATTTTTTGGATAATACATCATCATAATATTTAGGAGGTTATTATATTAATTATTATTGTTATTGTCGCTTGTTTAATTATTGTTCATAATAACTTTAAGGAGCATTGTTATTATTTAGGTTATTATTTTTTTTATATGGATCATCTTTGTATTTTGAGAGTTGATCATAGTAATTGAGTCTATTGATGGCATTCATTCCTAGATAAGGATCATTTTTATTAGGATTTTGAGTAGGGACAACTTATTATTGTTTATATTGTTATAATTATTGGTAATTGAGAGTGCGTGGATCAGAAATCTTAGGTTAAGAGCTGGATTGCATTTGATTTTACTATTGTTGTTTCAAAGTATAAAAGTCGTAGTCACTTTTAGGATAAAGAGGTGATTATGATGGTTTGGTAGGTTGTGTATGTGGATAACCGTCTAAGGGTTGATTAGTTCCCTATTACCAAGTATCACGATTGCTCATCTTTGCTTTAAGTAGTTTCAATTGGTTAGAGACTTGTTCATTTGATACAGCCATCTAACCTGTACGAGATAGGTTGGATCCCTAATACATTTTATTATAATTAAAATGGGGAATGTGCAATTCATCATTAATTTATCACAATATCTAAGAATTTCCATTTCACAATTCCTATCTTCATTGAATTATTAACATGCTATCCAAATTTAACAAGAAGCAGTACAAAAATATAAATATATATTAAATTTTAATGCAATCTAATGATTCAAGCAGAAGAAGATTGTTTTTACATTCTCTAGCAGCTGAAGAACCGTAGAAAATGTAAAATATGTAATTCATCTCCTATTTATTATTAGATCAGCCAATGGATCTTTAGTACTTAGTCAGTTTCGTCTTAACTCTAAAGGTCTTACCTTCACCAAAAGTAATATTTATTTTAATCCCCATTAGACATTACTTATATGGAATCACAACATTTTAAGGATCTCAAATTAGACGATTTTGAAATTGTTTGTAAATTAGGATAAGGAAATTATGGTAGTGTTGAGAAAGTACTACATAAACCTACTTAAGATTATTATGCATTAAAAGTATCATAATTTCTTATCCTCATAGAAAATACATTATGTTAGCAATGATATTTAGGAATCACTATTGAAGAAAGAATTAAAGGCTTTAATTGATTGCAATTCATAATATGTTGTTTAATGTTATGGAGCATTTTATTCTAAAGGAGAAATCTATATTGTTATGGAGTACATGGATATGGGATCATTGTAGATAATCTTAGAAAAAACCAAAAAAATACCAGAATCAATTACAATGTTGATAATTAAAGAAGTTCTTTAAGGGTTAGATTATTTGCATACAAATAAACATATCATACATAGAGATATCAAACCTCATAATATCTTAATAAATAAAAAGGGAGAAGTTAAAATTGGTGATTTTGGAATTTGTTCTGTTAGTGAGAATTCAGATTAGAAATTTGATACATTTATTGGTACAATTTAATATATGTCTCCTGAAAGATTAAATGGAGAAGAGTATGGATATGATTGTGATATTTGGAGTGTAGGAATGATGACTATGTAATGTATAACAGGTCTCTTACCATTTGAATTTGATGCCAAAAAAATGAGTATGATAGAATACATTTAAATGAGTAAGAATTTTAAGATTGATGAATACTTTCAATAACATAAACATGGAATTTCTGAAAACACTATCTTATTTATATCTAAATGGTATTATTATTTTTTTTATTAATCTTTTTTAGTTTGCAATAAGAACCAAAACATAGAACTAAAGCTTAAGAATTATTATAAACAAAAGCTATCAAGTACACATAGTCTCTAAAGATTGATGTATTTAAACAATGGTTGTAGTTGTCTATAGAGGAAATTTGAATTTACTTGTTATTTGATCATATACTTATTTATAATTAACAGAAATGAATTAACCTTAAAGAAGTCTTTCATATTTGGGAATGTCTAAATCTCGTATTCTGTATATCATTTATAAAGAGACTATATACCTGAATAGAATAGAACATCTAGTGCATTTTATAAAAGAGATGAGCTAAGCCGGTTAGATTAATAATTAGCCAAATATGAAGAGTTTAAGAGAAATTACAAGAGAAATGAATAAAAATATTCTTATTTCTAATAATAGCCTAAGGATTTGAATTAATCCTTTGTGGAAGAACGATACTAAAATTCTTATAATTATCGACCTAATTANGTGTTGAGAAAGTACTACATAAACCTACTTAAGATTATTATGCATTAAAAGTATCATAATTTCTTATCCTCATAGAAAATACATTATGTTAGCAATGATATTTAGGAATCACTATTGAAGAAAGAATTAAAGGCTTTAATTGATTGCAATTCATAATATGTTGTTTAATGTTATGGAGCATTTTATTCTAAAGGAGAAATCTATATTGTTATGGAGTACATGGATATGGGATCATTGTAGATAATCTTAGAAAAAACCAAAAAAATACCAGAATCAATTACAATGTTGATAATTAAAGAAGTTCTTTAAGGGTTAGATTATTTGCATACAAATAAACATATCATACATAGAGATATCAAACCTCATAATATCTTAATAAATAAAAAGGGAGAAGTTAAAATTGGTGATTTTGGAATTTGTTCTGTTAGTGAGAATTCAGATTAGAAATTTGATACATTTATTGGTACAATTTAATATATGTCTCCTGAAAGATTAAATGGAGAAGAGTATGGATATGATTGTGATATTTGGAGTGTAGGAATGATGACTATGTAATGTATAACAGGTCTCTTACCATTTGAATTTGATGCCAAAAAAATGAGTATGATAGAATACATTTAAATGAGTAAGAATTTTAAGATTGATGAATACTTTCAATAACATAAACATGGAATTTCTGAAAACACTATCTTATTTATATCTAAATGGTATTATTATTTTTTTTATTAATCTTTTTTAGTTTGCAATAAGAACCAAAACATAGAACTAAAGCTTAAGAATTATTATAAACAAAAGCTATCAAGTACACATAGTCTCTAAAGATTGATGTATTTAAACAATGGTTGTAGTTGTCTATAGAGGAAATTTGAATTTACTTGTTATTTGATCATATACTTATTTATAATTAACAGAAATGAATTAACCTTAAAGAAGTCTTTCATATTTGGGAATGTCTAAATCTCGTATTCTGTATATCATTTATAAAGAGACTATATACCTGAATAGAATAGAACATCTAGTGCATTTTATAAAAGAGATGAGCTAAGCCGGTTAGATTAATAATTAGCCAAATATGAAGAGTTTAAGAGAAATTACAAGAGAAATGAATAAAAATATTCTTATTTCTAATAATAGCCTAAGGATTTGAATTAATCCTTTGTGGAAGAACGATACTAAAATTCTTATAATTATCGACCTAATTATAATAATAAGCATTTATAAACATAGCAATATGATTACGATAGAGAAGTTTACTAAAAGGAAACGAATAAAGAATCGCCAATAAAAGTGGAACTAAGTTATACTGCCCCTAATAGTACCAAAAGAGGAGTTATTTCTGATACAGCTGCTTATTTAAGGGAAAGGGAGAAGATTATGAATTCGTTTATGACTGAATAAGAAATTGAGAGAATTAAAAGAATTTACTTTAGGAAATGATATATGATATAAATCTAATCATTTGAGTATGTTAAATGAGGTTTTACCTAAAATTTTTTAACATTTTGGACAATTATGTCTAATATCTTTGCAATCGTCTAAACAACAAGGAATACAAGACACACAAAAAAATCCAAATGAGCAAATGAATAGAAGGAATCCAACAAAAATAGTGGATTTACCTGAATGATGAGTAAGTACGGTTTGAACCTTCTAACAAAATAATAAATACTTTATTTTGGCATCCAGAACAAATGATCAAAACTGGATTAATATGACCATCTCCAGAGACTTAAGTAGAAGATACTAATTTAATATCCTCTAATGTGATTATTTTAGGTAATGTGCAAGTTAGGTTTTTATCTTCTATGATGTTTGGTTGATAAAACTAGGCATTTCTAGTAATATGAAATTCGAGTGCATCTTAATTGGTTTTTTGAATATGTTTCATAAAATAATATATATATAATCAACTTCCAAGATATTGAATTAAACCATATGAATTAGCAAAGTACTCTGTGACTTTTCTATTGAAAGCAGCTGGATTATCTTTAAAAGGTATTAAGGATTTAATAGTTTTCATACTCATCTAATCTAAAACAACAGCAGGATTATAAGACCATTATTTGATACGTTCTCCTTGAGGTAGATATTTATATTATAATCTATCACAATCCATACGTTTATTAAAATGCCCCTAGAATATAATTAAAAGATACTTCTCTTTAAGCATCTACTAATCTAACAATAATAGACATATTTTTGAGATAAAATACTTTATTATTAGAGACTTAATCTCGAAGATAATCCCAAGTATCTTATTTTTTAATATCTTCTATAACAGCTCTAGGAACCGATCCTCTAAAGATTGGTAACTAATAACAATTAGACATCACATAATTATCGGGGGAGAATACTGGTAATATTGACCAACCTACATCAGATATTGCTCCATCTGGTTTAGAGAAAGGAACTGATTTTATATCCAATATTATATTTTAATATCTGTTAGCATTCTCTTTGAATTTAAACCAGGCATCATCATATTCAGGAGTATTTATTTTTGAATCAAAATCATAATTAGAACACATATGTCCTTAAGTAACATCTCTAGGTTCTAAATAAAATGTTCCTGGTTATGATAAAGAGTAAAAGACTACATACATATGTGATTGATTAACAACATTATGTAATCCATCCACTGTCAATTTAAATCCAGCTTATGGTCTATATTTAGCAAAGTACATCATATCAATCATAAATGTATCATGAGTCAGTGATATACGGTTATCTAAATAATTTATTATTTCATGGTCTTTGTATTATCTATTTATTTGTTCTCCTTTTATCAATAAATATGCAGCTTCTCTAACACTTATATCAGGTCTTAGAGTTCTTTAAGGAAATAGTTCATTTTCAGATTCTGTGATAGGAGCTAATTCAGTATTGTAAGCTCCTGCTCCATATTATGGACGAGGTCTCATTATATTTCTTGCTATTTGATCCTTTAGACTTGGAAATTCTTTGATCGACAACGCTCTTTTACCATCTTCACTCAATGGTGCTTTATAAATTCTTACTAACACTGTACAACATGGAGATCTTTCGTGAGAATAACTAATTTTTATTATAAATTTATGTACATTTTTTTCATGTCAAAAGGTGGTGTTCTGTCTAACTATTAACTAAATAATGGAATCTGGTAGGCTCCTGAATAAACAACATAATTATCTTCATTTGGATCTTCGGGTTACGATTTTGTTCCAGGATTCAAAAATAAATTTATAGCAGCATAACCAACAATTCTGTTATCATTAGTACTTTTATCAACAGTGACAACTGTTATTAATGCAATAGCAGTTGGATCAAATTTTTCTTTTCTTAATTCTCTTCTAAAATAGAATGTTGGATTATAAGCCATACTATTGAGATCAGGGGCTGCAGTTTCAGCATCAAACAATTTTTCATATCTTCTATTATAGACTTCCATGTACATTTTACAGGCTGTAACTTTATCTGGTAAGAATCTTAGTCCATCAATATAAAAATCAATTCCATGTCTTCTTTCAAACTATTCATTAATCCATTACTATTATCTATTATCAATATATGGACTGTTATCTAATGGAATATCTTTAATTTCTTCTAATTTAGGTTTTTTATGTTTGTTTTTCATTTACTTTTTAAATTCCTCAATATCTTTTTCAGTGTAGACAAATTCATGTAATGCAAAGTCAATGACTTCTTCCATTTCTTACACTTTAGTAGGATCAATGGGTGGTCTTCTTAAAGGAGGTTTAAAGAGTTTCATTTTGAACCTTCCAGTTAATAGACTTCCGTCGTCTTATGTCAATTTAAGGAATTGCCATCCTTTGAGATCAAATTCTAAGCCAGCATAATTCTTTTGAGTTTCATTTAAGATTGATTCTTGCAATTCAATAGGTTCTGGTTTTTCAACAACTTATAAACCAATATATAAATCTTTTTTGTTTTTTTTAATCATAGCATATAAATTTCTAAATACTCTATATTCTTCTTAAAATACAATATCTTAACCTGATGCTTTATTATTCATTCCATCATATTCTACATTAGGTTTATGTAATGGAATAATATAATCTGGTTATAATACTTATCTATTTTTTAGATCTAATGGATTATGTATGGAAGTACTAAATGAAACAGGTAATCCATTAGCATCTAAAACAAGATTACCTTCTTCAAATAATCCTGTCATAACTCTAAGATGTGATCTAGCTTAATGATTTTCAACTTTATAAATAATTAATCTTAATCCTTTTTATTTCCCATCATCTTCAATAGGAGGTTCTTCCATTTATCTAGCACCATACTTTTACATTGGTGGTGGTTATCCAGTAATTTCATATTCTTCCATATTAGATCTACCTCCAGCTCCTTAACCCATTAATTAACTCTCTTCAATTATTTCTTCTATCATTTTATATCCTCTACCACCATATCTAGTTTCATAACTTTCTTCCATTCCTCTCATATTTTTAACTTTATCTCTTTTACCAAATAATCCTCTTAAATGGATATATGGTACAATATATTCATGTTAAGTTTATTCCGGATAAATAGTTTTAACTTCTCCATAATCTTTATCATTAGGATATCCAATTCTAAAATAGACCCAACAATTTGGAATAGGTTCTAAATTTTAAATCTCTTCAACAGTAATTTCAGGACTGGTAGGTCCATAATAGACTGGACATTTAAATTTTCCTCTCTTTAATTATTTATTATGATCAAATAGATCAACTTGAGTCCAACCATATGTTTCAGTTCTACCAACATTATCTTCTACTCTTTTACTAAAAGGAATTTAAACTTCCATAATCATTAAAGTATCTGGATGTGCAGGTACTTCAAATACTTAATGAGAATCACCAAATATGCATCTATTATGATTCTAATTTTCTGTTTCACTTTCTCTAGGTTCAACTAATCTTGGTTAACAAATTACTTATTATCCATTATACACTCCAAATACTACTTGACTATAATTACTCCTTCTTGGTAATCCTAATGTATAATCCCAATGAACTACAAATCCTTCACTTTAATTATATGATTGCATTTATTATCTTTTCAAAGTATTATCCTTTCTTAATCTATTTTCTATAATGAATTTCTTATTATCATCTACCCATTTCTCATTTTCCCATTATCTATCATCTTCTCTTCTTTCCATCTCAAAATCTCTTCTTGCATCTTATAAACGTTATTCTTAAACAATCTTTTCTATTTCAGCTCTCATTGTTGATAATTCTTTATATTATTCAACCTTAAATCTATATAATTCAGTTCCTACAGGAATTCTAGATATTACTCTTAAACTGTCTATTTCTTGAGCCTATAAACTCATCAATACTCTTTCTTCTTCACTTAAATCAACTCCACGTACTTCATTCATTAAAAAGAATTCATTTTTTCTATTAAATATACTCCATGGATCTTTCATTTTCTTTCCCTCTTAATTTAATGCTAATTAATTTAAAGCAAATTGTCCAAAAGCTGTTGATCCTTATTATTATGATTATGGTATCATAACTGGATTATAAGCAGGCATCATCTATGGTTAAGCAAATCCATTATATTACATATTTGGATTAGTTAAAAATTATGCTATTTAAGGTTGTTAAGGAAGCATTTAAAATTAATTATTTTAAAATTAAGGGATAGGAACACCCCAAGCATTCTTTAAAATTTCCATCTATTATTATTATTGTTATTAATTAATATCTGGGAAACTCTATATTGTTTATTAAGGTTGTAATCTTGTTGCAGGTGCTCTATTTACTTAAGATGAATGTTGTCTCTTAACTTAACTCATATTAACACTCTATGACAAACTTTGATCCATCATACTATTTGCATGTTATTCTATTCCTTATCTAAATGCTTAAAGTTCTCCATGAGTTTAAGGATTCTTAGATTTATACATATCTACTGCTTATTATCCTACAGTTGCTCTTTATCCATAAGCTTCGTCTCCATCAAATGGCATAAATTCTGGTTTCTATTACTTCAATTAATTTATTCTTTATTATTATTCTGCAAATTTTCCATCATGTAATTTAGCATTAAAATTCTCCATTTATTTCATATCTCCCAAAATATTCTTAGCATTTGCTACTAAATTCATTGTACCTCCTCTTTAAGCAGCTTTTAAATCTCCATTTCTTAATCTATCTAAATTATCCATTATTCTTAATCTCTCTCCTTCCAATTATTCTCTTTTTAATTTCAATTTAGCAACATTATCTGATCTTTCTTATATCAGATCTTCATTCAATTTTGTATTGTTTTTTTATTTTAATTACATTCCTTCAATAACATTGTTAATTTTTGATACTTCTTCCTATCTCATTTAATCAAGCATTTTAGTATTCTATTCCATCTATTCAATATCTTTAATAAGTTCATTCTCTTTCATTCTAAGAGCTTCCCTTTCTGCTATCAATTTCTCTAACTCTCTCTTTCTTTCTTATTCGATTGCTGTTAATTTTGCTTTCTCTAAATCCATTAATGCTCTTCGAATCTCATCTTTCTCTATTCTTGCTCTTATTTCCTTCTCTTTCTTTTATTCAACTTCATGTAACAATTCTTCAAATGCTTATTTATCATCATCTCTTTTCATTTTAATCTATTATCTATCATTTTTTAATTTAAATAATTCATCTTCCATTTCATCTTCTCTTCTTTTCTATGCCATTCTATGCAATCTTTTATATTCATCATCTTATTATTTTATTTAATCCTTTAAAGTTTCCAAAGATAATTAATTCTTTTATTATTAACCTGCTACTGGAGGTCTACCATTCTCAATTATCTCTCTCGCACCAGGTGCATTACTCTTTTTTAAATTCAATAACTCTCTTTAGTATTTCTCTTCTAATTTATTTTAAGACCCATAATCTGAACTAACACAAAACTATTTCTAAGATACAAATCTTTACCTTCTTCACATGATTCTCTAATTATTATCTAGTCTCAAATTTCATCTTACAAGCTAAACATTCATTGAAAAGTGTGTTCTCAGACATGTAATTTAAATAGTAAATTATAATTATATTTTTACTATAAACAATAAACAAAAATCTTTTCCAAAAATCACAATTACTTTTCGTAGTAAAGAGTTGTAGTTATATTATTAATTGGGGTTGCATGAAATTCTAGTACTTCCTTAACAAAATCTATTTATATTATAATTATTTTATAATTACCATCAGATTGATTATGAAAATTCTATATTATTTACATCACTGAAGTACTTCTAGCTGAAGGAGGATGCATTTCCATAGAATCTATAGATTTATCTGCAATAAAACAATCATTTTTTCTTTAGTGATAAGTTGTCCATAGAATCATTAAACATCCTACGCTTGGACAATACATTAAACAATAATATCCTAAATTAGGAGAGATAGATGACAAATAACCATAAACAATAGGAGCTGGTAGATATCCAAATAAATTCACATAAGTAGTTGTATTAGAATTTGCAAATGATCGCATTCCTTAATTGACTGATGATAATATAATTCCTATAAGTTTTATTATTCAATTGGTTACCAGTAATAATTGGTACCAAAGCACCTCCAAAAAAGAGAAGTAACCAAATAAATCCTGTAATGGCCCAAATATTATTTGTCAGTGTTACACATATTGAAGATAATGAACCTAAAACAGCTGCAATGCTAGTTATATAATAAGCATTCTTAGAATCATATCCTCCATAATGTTGAGTTACTAATCCTCCTAAAAATAAACTAGAAATATATATTTTACCTAATACACATCCAAGTGTAGGACCTGTAATTGAATCTAAACTAAAAAGTGTATTAACTAGACCTTGATTAAAGCACAAGACTGTAACTAAATAATTAGAAATCCAAAATTATATTCCTGTTACTGAAAAATATAACAATCCCAATACTATTGTCATTACAACATATGACCTAGATTAAAAGGTTAATTTAATCAATTCAAAATAAGGCATCTTTTCATATGTATTATTATTGTCTTTAACATATGGTCTAACATCTATATTTTATTATGGTTATCGAGATAATAATGCAATGCTTGGTATAAGTACTACAATTTATAAATAAAATGCCCATCGCCACTTTTATTATTTCTAAATATAATTACATTCCATTATGCTGCAATAACGCTTGCCAATACATATCCAACAAATACTCCAAATGGAACTCCTCCTTATAGAATTGTTAACCATACTGTTTTGTTATCTTAACCAAATGTGTCCACCCAAACAGGAAAATAAACTATCAATGGAGCTTAAGCTGCCCCTGTTATAAATCGACTTAAATAATAAGGCCATGCAATATCAAATTGCAATGTAAATACAAAAAGACTCAAAATCATAGTAATCATACTGATTTCAATAACTCTTAATGGATTGTATTTTAAAAATATGAAAGAGGCCCCAAATCCCATTACCACAGTCCCTGCATATACTAATGAACCTAATACGCCTAATTCTTAATTCGATAATTTCAGTGCATTTTGAACTTAAACACTTGCTTTACATTTTTAAATATTATATAAACCTGCTGGAATTATACCATGGTCAAGACTCACAAGTAAATTTGTGATTGAAATTAGTACAAAAACTCTATATGCATCTGGAATTCTCTATTATTCTTAATCATCTTTCATTAATAATATATTTATTAATAAAAAAGAAAATCATACAGAAAATTCTCAATTATTTATAATTATTAATCAATACTAATATAATTATTAATCAATAAATACTAAGTAAATTTATAGATGAATCTAAATTATGTTTGAAAAACTACATCATTTTTAGATTTCCAGAAATCATATAAATAATTAATAATATAAAATAATATAATATGATTTGTAAAGTAAACCTTTTTTATATATGTTCTGTAAATCTTTATTATATTATAATTGAAAAAAATTCTAAAATTATTCCAGAAAAATATTTAATTAAATATTAATCACAAACAGCATATTACTTTGAAAATAAAGAAGAAAATTATTAGATAAACAAGAGTAAAATAAATTAATCAATTATTGAATTCTTCATCTTATTCATCTGATAAATCTAATTCTCCAGCCCTTTTTTAATCTTCATGAAGTTAAGCAATTTGATTTGCATCCATTTAAATTTCAGGTGGTAAAACAGCCAAAGCCTAGATTAATGAAAGATTTCCATCACTAAATAATAAAAATATAAAATTACTTTGCTAATCTCCTTAATAAATATAGGAAGGGCTTTTCATATTGGTAGTTTGATTTTGCTGAAACATCATAATATTTTATATTAACTTTATGATGGAATGTGATTTATCTGGGCTTGACTTTTCTATCTTTTGATTCAACCTAAGATTTAAGTGAAAAATAATACTTTGTTTCCGACTAAAACTATAGGTATTTTATCACAAATTCTATTTAGATCTTTATGCCATTTTAGTACATTTTTATATGAGGTTCTTGATGTTACATCAAACATAATAATGGCACAATGAGCACCAATATAATATCCTTCAATTAGTCCACCCCACTGTTCTTATCCTGCAGTATCCCAAATTACTAATCTGATCGGACCATGAGTAGTATAAAATACAATTTAACTAACTTCGACTCCTTATGTGGCTAAAAACAAATTTAAATCATTTACCTAAATATTACTTTTGAAATTCTCCAGTCAAATGTCTCTTTACAAATGTAGTCTTTCCAACTGCTCCATCACCAACTAATACTAATTTAAATTCAGCAGCAATTTAAACAGGTTATTTTTATGCCATATTTTAAGCTAAAAATTTATTTATTTAAATAAATTAATTGTTATTTTTTTCATTCATTTAAATATAAAAATCCAATCATTTTACAATGTTTTTAGAATTTAAATATTTTAATAAATTATAATTAGCAATATTATCAAAACCTCATTATTAGTTTTAATTTAATTTAATTATTTTCAATCAAAATATTATGGAAATTTAAAATATTATTTAGTAATTTGAAAGAAGTTAAGCTGTTAATCCTGAAGTGTTCATTTCTGATACAGCAGAATAAGTTACTATAAGTGCTTTAACATTAATCAAAATGCTTAAAGTTAAATTCTAAGATAATAATCTATCAGCATGTTCGAGCAGAAATTCATTTTGAAGTTATGGGTTTATTATTTGGAGACATCGTTGACGATTATCACATTAGAGTTTATAATATTTTTTTCAATGTCTTAAACAGCAAGCCGTGTTTAAGTGAAATTTATGGATCCATTTATTTAATAAAAGATGGTTCTTATCAACTTTATAAATAAAATAATTTTTTTTTCTTTTGTTATAATAATGAATAAAAATAATAAATTTTAATATGTACTCAATAATCTTATTAATAGTTAAATAAAAAATAGATCGGTGTTGTTATCGATCCAATACAATCATTTAGAGGGAAAGTTTTCATCGATATCATTCAGATAAATTCCTTATTAAATTTACTTAGCTGTAAGAATCAAGATAAACTATATCAAAAATACAGGACATCTTTAAAAATACGTTTTAGAAGTATTGTTAAGGGGATTGAATAGTTATTATTATTCAATTAACATTAAATTTAAACACAATAATTTAAAATACAAAATACTTTAAAATTGATATAAGGTTTGTTAGAGAGAAAGTTTATAGTAATTATTTAATATTAAATTATTACTAGATGTAAGTCTTTTAATAAAAATAGTAATAACAATGAAATTTTATTTTAGATAGGAGAGATTAATATTAGAATATCAAACAAACCGGTATTAATACTTTATAATTAAAATATAGTTGAAAAATAAAAAAAAGGAGAATAAGAAACAAAGATAAAAAGGATCCAAAGAGTCATCTTGATTCTAAAGTAGATGAATTACTTGATGATAAATTAAATGTTATATAAAGAAGAATGATGGCTACAAAAGCCTTTTGATTGAATAAATTGATAATATTAAAATAATGATTAATAATTTAATGTTTACTCCTGAACAATTTGCCGCTAATTATTAAATCAATTTTTCCAAATTAATAGGCAAAGGACATGATAGTACAGTATTTTTGACTATGAACAAATAAACAAAACAACAATTTGCATTAAAATGTTTAGCATAAACAATTGAGTAAAATGCAATTAATTTATTCGTAATTATAATATGATATTTTCAAGAGAACGAGATCCAAATACTTCGTCACATTCAACATCCACAAATTATAACAATGATTGGATATTGTTCAGATTGTTCTTGTATGTTACTTGAATTAATGTCTAATGGTTCTCTTTATAAAATCTTACTTTAAGGTCCTTTACCTTTAGCTATAGCAAATGGAATCATAATTTAATTAGCATAAGCATTATAATATCTTCATAACAAAGGAATAACTCATGGAGATATTAAATTAGATAATTTGCTAATTTCTGGAGATTACACTATAAAAATTTGTGATTTTGGATTTGCTAAAATAAANCTCAATAATCTTATTAATAGTTAAATAAAAAATAGATCGGTGTTGTTATCGATCCAATACAATCATTTAGAGGGAAAGTTTTCATCGATATCATTCAGATAAATTCCTTATTAAATTTACTTAGCTGTAAGAATCAAGATAAACTATATCAAAAATACAGGACATCTTTAAAAATACGTTTTAGAAGTATTGTTAAGGGGATTGAATAGTTATTATTATTCAATTAACATTAAATTTAAACACAATAATTTAAAATACAAAATACTTTAAAATTGATATAAGGTTTGTTAGAGAGAAAGTTTATAGTAATTATTTAATATTAAATTATTACTAGATGTAAGTCTTTTAATAAAAATAGTAATAACAATGAAATTTTATTTTAGATAGGAGAGATTAATATTAGAATATCAAACAAACCGGTATTAATACTTTATAATTAAAATATAGTTGAAAAATAAAAAAAAGGAGAATAAGAAACAAAGATAAAAAGGATCCAAAGAGTCATCTTGATTCTAAAGTAGATGAATTACTTGATGATAAATTAAATGTTATATAAAGAAGAATGATGGCTACAAAAGCCTTTTGATTGAATAAATTGATAATATTAAAATAATGATTAATAATTTAATGTTTACTCCTGAACAATTTGCCGCTAATTATTAAATCAATTTTTCCAAATTAATAGGCAAAGGACATGATAGTACAGTATTTTTGACTATGAACAAATAAACAAAACAACAATTTGCATTAAAATGTTTAGCATAAACAATTGAGTAAAATGCAATTAATTTATTCGTAATTATAATATGATATTTTCAAGAGAACGAGATCCAAATACTTCGTCACATTCAACATCCACAAATTATAACAATGATTGGATATTGTTCAGATTGTTCTTGTATGTTACTTGAATTAATGTCTAATGGTTCTCTTTATAAAATCTTACTTTAAGGTCCTTTACCTTTAGCTATAGCAAATGGAATCATAATTTAATTAGCATAAGCATTATAATATCTTCATAACAAAGGAATAACTCATGGAGATATTAAATTAGATAATTTGCTAATTTCTGGAGATTACACTATAAAAATTTGTGATTTTGGATTTGCTAAAATAAATGGATAAACTCCAATACCTAAAACTACAATTTCTGGTAGTGAAGGATATACAGCACCTGAAATATGGTAAATTCCTACAGATTTGAAAAAATGTGATATGTTTTCATTAGGAGTAGTTTATTTTATTATGGTAACTGGACATCCTCCTTTTGAATCAAATAATCCATAGATTGAAGATACATGGTGGAAACTTATTAAGAAAGAAGAATGGAATATATTTTGGAAAGAATTAAAGTTAACAATATTACCAGAATATGTTAGAACAATTATTTAAAAACTACTATGTGTAAACTATCAGATGAGATTCTCAGCTGATGAAATAATTTAAATACTTATAGATAAATCTGCTACATCAGTTTAAATAGTTGATGAGATAAAAAAAAGAATTATCTAATAAAAATGAAATATTTGTATTTATATTCAACAATAAAAAACAGATTATTTTATTTAGAGGTAATTAAAATTTCATTAAAATACTATTTTATCAACACTTTATCTTTAGAGTAAATGTTATTTTAAAATGGCTTAACTGTATTATTCCTTCTGATTTTTAAGATATCTTTATTTTTGATTTTCTTCAATCAATTTATCAATTATTCTTTATTATTCTCTCTATTAATCGTTTAAATATTTACTTCTCTTTCTTCAGCAAATGCTCTTGTATTATTTAAGGCTCTTTACAATCGCATTTTATTTTTTTCACTTTATTCTTTTATTTTAATATCTATACTAGATTATATTGATTATAATCTACCTGAAATATCTAATTATATTTAAAATTAATAATACTTTTGTCATTTTCTTTTTTCTTGATAGATTCTATCTTTTTCTCTAAAAGATGATTTAATTTTTCTTTGTTTTTCCTTACTCTTTTAAATTATGTAGCTAATTTAGTTTTTACTAATCCTAATTATTCATTTTTGATTGACATTTATTCTTCTACCATTTTATTACTTAAATCAGCAAATTTAATATATTATTCAAGCTTATTTTATTAATATTCAATCTGTGTTTATATTACTTTTTATTATGCTTATTCTTATTTCTAAATACTAAGCTATCTCTTTTAATTCATTTCTTCTTTTAATTTTAATAGTAATTATTCTGCAATATATTCTTTTTCTATTTATTTTTCCATAATCAATTCAATTTATTAATCTTCCATATATGCAGCAAGTTTTTTCTTTTCTTTTCTCTCTTCTTCCTTCCTTTAATTTCTTTCTTATTGTTCTCTTTATTCTTAATTATGTTAAGAATCAAACTAAACTTTATTTTATAATGTAATTTCTTATTTCTTATTGAGATATTCTTAAATTTTAATTCTTTATTCTCTATCTTTGATTTCTAATTCATGAATTTTTTCAAGTGTTTTCTTCTAACGATCTTAAAAGATTTTCTTTCGTTCTTATTATTTACTATGGCAATTTATTGATTAATTACATTTTATTCATTTACTTAACTGTTTCTACTTTCTTAGCCATTATAGGAACTTTTTGTTGATAATAATCATGTAAAGATTTAAGTTTTTCTTCCTCCAATTATTTATGTCTAGTAAGAGTTTATAAATATCCTTAACTTTTTTTGGCTTACATTTCTAATTTCTCTTCAAAGGATGTTTATAAAAAATCAAAAGAACGTGTATTAAATGATTTTGACATAATAGTGGTCAACTTTGTTGGTATAACAATAGCACCGCCATCAGTGAGGAAACCTGATAGATGATATGGAGACTGATACTTGAAGTATTTTATTAAGTATGTGATTTGTTTAGTTTGTTTTTAGATTACAATTCTTTTTCATGTTTTTTAATCAAATTTCTTGTACTCACAATTCTTAACAATTCTTTATACTTTTCACTAAGGTAGTTCATATAATTTATTAAATTTTGAATAGGATGAAGTTCTGGCATTTGAAATTGCTAAAAAGTAAATATATGACATGCATTCTCACCTAATTCTAATTAATTTAAAGCTTCTTTTGTACGAGGAGATTGTGGATCAAGTTTTAAAAAGAAAATTGAAAGTTTATTTGGATCTCTTAAAATTTTATCTTTATCATCAAATGGCATAAAATCTTAACTTATAGCTTCATCAATTATTCCATTAGAGAGTGTTGGAAATTTTAGTCTTTTAACAAAAAATTAGTTAATGAGATGAAATTTCTAATCATCAGTTAGTTTAGGTTTGATTCTAGGTGATTATACTTCACTATTATGACTATTATGAAAACTTGACATTAAAAAATAAAAAATTAAATAAAATGCTCTTAGATAATGTACTGTTGAATATGTAATAAATCAGCGTTCATTTCTTTTACTTCTTTTTGGTTTATTGTTTCTTTCCACCTGCACCAATAACAATTTTATTGACATCTAAGTAATTGTGAATTAGGTTAAATACTTTATGGAAGTGTTTATTAAATTTTTTAGGCCTTATTCTTATCAGCTGTTTTGAAGGTAAAAAGATATTTCTTTCCTCTCAATTTGAATTTGGTAATCTTCTTGGACTCTTTAATATAGAGATCTATATAAAATGATATTAAAATATACTCTTTTTTGGTTCTTTACTAGCATCTTTGCCTTATGCTTCATTACCCTTCATAAGTGAAAGGAAAACTTTAACATCCTGAACTTCCTTAGGCATATTAATTTAAAAAAGATTTAAAAATTTTAATAATAAAAACAAATTACATGATTCACTTTTGAACATAATCCTCTTTGCTTTGTTAATCATTCTTACCTTTCAATTTTTTCAATTATTCTTCAGAATAATGTGTGATTTCAACTGGTTTTTATTGTATATCTTAATAACGAGATCCTTTTTTCTTATAAACTCTAAATCCAAATATTCTTGGAACATATTATTGATTATTTGGAGTAATCTAAATTTCTTAGATAAAGTTCTTATTAAATTAATTCTTTTCATACCATAATGAAAATAGAAGGAAATGAACATCCAAAATATGCTCCATCTACATCTGGACATTTCTTTTTTGGAATATAAACTTCTTCACATCTTGGACAAAATACTTTTACTCTTGATGTTCTCAATTCTTCACTCATTCCAACAGGTAATACATTTGATCTTTCACATAAAACTCTTGGACAAGCACCAAATTTTCCAGCCATAAACTTATCTTTCATTAATGCCAAACCTAATTTTCAATATTTTGATCTATATACCTTTTGCTGTAATTATAAATCTAGCATGAATTAATCCATATAAATCTGTAGCTTCTTAATATACTTCCAAAAAACGTTCATCTTCTAAATCTTCATCATCAGGAGTCTCAGAACTCAAAATCAAATCCAAAGCTTCACTAATCATTGCTTTTTAAATTTTACTTATAAAAATTGAACTTGCTTTTTAAACCATACAAATTGAAGTTGTCTCTGATAAAATCACTATCAACTTCACATAAAAATTAATGATCCTCCATAGAACAAAACCATTAAATCCAACCTGCACCTTCTGAATATGATGAATCTCCAGACATATTTATTTTTATTAAATTATTTATTTATTTTATTAATCATTATAAAATCAATATGATCAAAATAGATATGCAAATTCCAATCATATAAAGAATTTAGAATTATTTCATGACTTATTTCCTTTTCTTATTCTATTATTCATCTCTCATCTAACATTTATCTATTTATGATATTCTTGGAGTTTCCTATAAAACTTACTTTTTCTATTCTTTATTACAATAAGATTTCACAGCATTCTTAATTAAATCATTATTCTTCGTTTTCTATTCAATAATTTTACTTTACTGCTATTACATTTCATCCTCTTATTTATTTTGTTCTCCTTCTTTTGTAGAATCATCAATATCATTTATATGTTATAAAGAACAAGGCATTTTAAATTCGTTATTACCTTCACTTATTTAAATTTCATTTTCATTCTCTTATTCATATTGTTGAGATTATGAAGGCAATATTCTTTATGTATAAAGATCTTAATATTAATCACTATCAGATAATTCTGAACTCTTCTTAGAAATTAATGTATTAACAGTATCTACATTTTAAAATTCATTTTTCGATCTATATGTCTTTATTTCTATAAAATAATCTTTTAATCTAGCATTCAATATTAGACATATACGCTAAGTGCCATTATTAATTCGATTAGGATTTTGATCTATAAATGACTATTCATAAATCTAAGTAATTTCATTCGTTTAGGAAAAACTTAACTATTTATTTAATAATTGCCCCCTTACAATATTAAAAAACAAAGAAAATTAATGTTTTTTTATTTTTTCATTTAATATTGAACTTAAAATTGTAGTACTTGCAAATTTAATCGCCAATTATTCTTTTATTGACATTTCAACTTCCTATTAAATAGTTGACTATTCCTCTTCTGGTTAAATCATATGATTTTAATCAAGAACACTAGTCTTTAATATCTTTCTGTTTTGATTGCATCTCATTATATTTATAATACTTAGATATTAAGACCTCTTATGACATTATTTGATAAAATTAGTGATTTGTAAAATTGCTCTACAATAGTTTGATTGAGACTTAATCCTTTTAAATGATTACTTTTACTGTTAGCTTAAAAGTTTATTCAAAATATGATAAAGTACAATTACCTTAGCAGTTGGAATTTCCTATTATTGTTCTTGAGATATTTATTATCTAATTTAATTGTTAGATAAATCCTCTATAACAGGTGGAAGATATTTAATTTCATTTAAATCTACGAAACCATTAGTATATAATGTTTTTCTTTCTTATTTTAAAATCCAAAAGTATGTTTATAGTTTAGCAGATTTATACTTTTATAATTTATGAAGTAGAGATTAAGTTGCTAATACAATTCTAAGTTAGGTAAATTTCAAAGCTAATTTGCTTGATTCATCTTCTCTCATTTCACATAATACTTTACAAGCTACTTTTACTTGAGTCTTCAGTTCCTATTTATTAATAATAAATTTACACTTGAGACACAACTCTTATTTGTAGAATAGCTAATTAACGAACTTTGATCTGGATTTGTTTTTGTTCTACGACAATTCTCTGTTACTATTGGGGATTTCATAATTATAAAATTATGTTATTAAAAAAACTCTTTTTATTTAGTTTTGTAAAATTAATGGAAAAGTTTTAGGATAAAATCATTTACTTAAAAGCTTTGATTCAGATAAATTCTTTTGGTTTCTATTTTTATTTCATTCATCAATTATTATTTGCTATAATAAAAAATTAATCGAAAATTTCATATAATTCAATTTCATTTTCTTTTTAAAAATTAATCATTTATAAATTTAAGACTATCAATTAAAATGAATTGAAATTGATGAATTTATTGTGAAGTCAGGATGCTAAGATAAAAAATTAATAATGATTTCTATAAATATTAAGAAATTATTTTTAATAAAAATTAGAAAATTAAATAATTTTTATAGTTCAATATTGTCATATAATACTTTAAACAATTTTTCTTCTAAAAATATTATCTATTTTATGTATATTATATTAAAATGTAAAGAGTCTTTGAAAATTAAAAACTTGGAGCAAGATAAAATATTTTGAAAATTTCCTGAATAACAAAGTGAATTGTATTAAGTTATAAAAATTAATAATTTGTTTGATCTGAATGTTGATAGGTAGAGAATAAATTAAATAAATCAAAAAAGGTGATTATAAGTTTGTAAATTAAATTATTGGAAAAAGAGAAAAAAATCATTTTAAAATTCTGTAAAAATTTGTTAGTAATTAGTAATAAATGTGAAATGGTTTGTATTAGGTTTAGTATGAGTTATATAAGTTGAGAGAGAAATAATAAAAAAAATAAAGTGAAAAAGTATTGTTGTATAGAGTTGGAATGATAGAAAAAAGAATAAACAAAGAAAGCGATGAAGTGTGTATTTAAAATGAGAGTAAAATTTAGATTAATGAAATATTATTATTTTTAATGAACAAGAATTCACCGTCACCTAGTTCACCAACTCCAGTGATACTGGTGCTTGTCACAAATAAATAGGGAAAAGTCTTGGAGCATAGCTAGTTCTTTAGGACATTCTCAGTATTTGGTTAAGTTAAAAAGGTACTAGTTTATTTTGATTTGTTTTTAGATTCTTATATTTGAAAGAAAAATCATTTGGAAAGTGTTTATTGAGTATGAGAATGCTTAATAAGCTTAATAAGCTTTAGTTTTAGATGGCAGTCTCTTTGATTACTAACTAAAAATGAGAGTACATCTAAGTTAACGTGATTCTCTAGTGTTTTAGAATAATAACAATTGTGGTGTTGGTATAATTTTGTTATATTACAATTAGATTACACTGTTTTGTAATCAAAACAATAGTTTTTCTAACAATTAAAGGAGGATTCAAGTTCTTTAAATCAATAATTATCGTAGAACTTAGACATGCTTAATTAACTTATAACTTAATTAAGTTAAACGACAGATTTAAAAGAACAAATCTCTCTAATACAATAGATATAAGAGTATCGTAATCAAACTTAGTAATTGACTGTTCTATATTAACAGTAATTACGTAATTATGCATCCGTTTTATAAAGAGAGGGAAAGAAATAAAAATAAATTGTATCTAATGTAACAACTCCATCTCCATCACCTTTTTTACATTCAACTTTGGATTCAATTAGATAATAGATATTAGAAGAGTCTTCAGAAGAAGATAAAGAAGAATTTTCAGATGGAGAAAGTGTATCATCATAATAATCATCAGAAAAATCTTAGAAATCTACACATTCTGAAGATAATTATAATGAAGTCTTTTGTAATGACTCCACAAATCCTTTTTCTTGTGGTGCCAGTCCATTTACTCCATATCCATAAACTAAAATAACAAGTCCTTTCATAATGACTCCAACTACTCTCCCAACATATTTAATAGTTTAACATCCTAATATTAATCTACGTGTAGTGTATAACATTTTTAGTACATTCACAAGAGTAGATGCTATTTATTAAAGTCATTATGGAGCTTATCTTTAAGTTGCTTCTAAAGAAGAAGCAGTTCGAATTAAAAATCTACTTAGCAAATCATTACTTTTTGGAATGCCAATGAATCTTTTTATTTCAGATCAGCTTTCTCATGATGCCAATAAAGTTAATTTGCCTCCTAATGAAAGAAAACCTCTTCTATAATAATAATTATCAAACTCAATCTTGATTACCGGTCTTAATGGAGTTACACTAGAACAAATCTATCAATATTTTGGATGTATTACTCCAATCCTAAATATGAAGTATCTTATATCATTTATATCTATTAGATTCATTAATCAGAGCTCTTGCAAAATACTTTATTCAGATGTAGGATCCAGTCTCAGTGTCTTAGGGTATATCCAAGATGCCAAGATTAATGGAAGGTATTTTTATATATCTATTTTAGATCTGTGTAACTTTCATTCACAGCTTTCTGATTAATGAATTCATTACATATTATAATATTAATTTATCAAGTAATCAATCAATATCATAATATTTTATATAATTCTAAATTTTAAAGAATAAAATTTCTTCCTTAAATTATATATTTTATTATTAATTAAAATCATATTTATTTATTTATTTTTTTTAATCTTTTGAATATTTCAATATCAATATAATATAATATTATTTTTTCTAAATAAAGAATTATTTTAAATTGTAAAAAAATGAATAAGAAAAATGAAATATCTTCCATTCAAAATTCATAAAATATTATATGATATTTTAATTATTAACTAAATATTGATCAATATTTTTAAAGATATCATCCAAAAAATTTATTTAAAATACTATAAACTCATATAATTTTATTCTATGAATATTTTAACTTTTTTTTATAAAGTTTTGCTTTTTTATAATACGATTAATTGATAAAGAAGAAGTTTATCTAATTTAATTTAAATAATATTTAATAATAGGAAATATATAATATTCAAAATCAGAATAGGAATAAGTTTAAATATAAAAAGAAATTTAAAAAATTAAATTAATCTAAAGGCACTTGATAATAAATTTTCTATCCTCCTTCTATATTAAAGTTATAATTACCTTTTAGTAAGTGAATTCATTAGCCTTAATACCTTAAAAGATCAATGCTTAAATAAACATTTATATATAATAATTTTATTTATCATTCAGAAAATTTACATGCAACTACATAAAAAATATAAAGATTATTTTGTTTTCTAAATAAAAGAATGAATTTGAATTGTGAGAAAATGAATAAGAAAAATGAAATTTAAATAAATTTGGTGTTTGTATTTATAAATTAATTTAAAGAAAAACAAATAGGTATATGGGATAATAAGTTGTTTTGTATAATAATCAGTATTACATATAATAAGATAAGATATATTTTTATGGAGGGTCAATTGAATAGATAATTATAATAGTCAAAGATGATATTTTAAAGAGAGGTGAAATTTCAGGACTAAAATAAAAAACAAGAAAGAATAATTAGATAATGAATAATATCAATTTTTAATTACTTAATAAGGTAGAAAAAATTTTAAAGTTGAGATTGAAATATAGCTCATTTTGCAAATGAATCAAATAGCTAAAATAAATAAGAAATATAATTATTTCTAATTTAAAATAAAGGATAGATAATAAGATTATGGATATAATGAAATAGTGAATTTCAATTAATATTATAATTAGTAATTGAGGATTAAAGAAGAAAATAAAATGACTGGAATAATTATAAAGAATCAGAAAAAAGATTCTTATTTAAACTGATTTGAAATTCTAATTGTTAGTAAAGTAAAATAAGAATAAGTTTGGAAATAAATGAATCATTTGAATCACTTATTTTAAAGTCCAGTAGATTATGAGAGATATAAGAACTTAAATGAAATTATTATTGAATAAAGAAAGAGAGTATCTCTTGATTAAAAATATCAGAATTGTTTAGATTTAATATATGAATTGTTTAGCTAGTAAATGGACGAAAAAAGTTTTTTAATGTTAAATTTCATATAATCTAACAAAATTGTTTACAACAAGCATCCGATTCCTCTTTTTCTTCAATCAGATTATAGTTTTTCCAATTTTCCACAATATGAATATCAAATATTTATTGAGAAGGAAGGATTTCATCTCTAAAACAGATGTGAAATTTTAATGATTTATTAATAGGGTTTCCAAATTTGTCAACTCTAACATTTTGATCTATTTCTGGATCTTAATCATCATCAAAGTGAGATCTGCAAAGCTCCTGAATATTTTGTATTTAATATTTGGGTCCCCTTATCATTTTATTAATTTATTATGACTTTATTAGAACATATTAATTATTAGAATGAATGGCTAAGGCATGTTTGAATAAAAATAAAAACATAATATTTTTTTACGAAATCTCATAAGTGTATTTGTTGATAACCAAAATATTTATTTAAATAAAAATATTAAATGTTACTATCTTATAATGAAATATATTTCTTATTTTCTTTCTAAATGGACAATTAAAAAATTAGTCTTTGATAATAATTTAATTAAGATGTGAATAAGAAATGAAGTGATACATATATATAAATATAAAGGATTGAAATATAATAATAAATAGAGAAATAAATAATAAATGAAAGTTAATATAATAAAAAAATAAAGGATCATCCATCATTTAAAATTTGAGCGGATTGTTGTAGTAAACCTTATAATGAGAAGGGGGATGTAGCAACATAAGGTGATTGATTAACAATGACTCTATTGATTTATTTTTATGGACTTGAATATGATAGTGTAGTTTAAACATCTTTGAGTAGTTATAATTCTTTGGTTTAAGTATTGAGTTAACTTTTGAGTGTTTCACATTATAATCTAAGACATTTTTATTGATCATGTTAATTGTTAGAACCACATATACATTCAGATGTTGGATTACATATAGAAATATGATTGATGAAATCTTTTTTATATGTCTGTTAACCACATTCTTATTTAGGACATGTTAGAGTATTAAATCCACATTTAGATTCATGAATTCTTAAATCAGGATAACAAAGTTCTTCAGGACATCCATTAATTCTGTTTTAACAAGAGAATTTAACACTTGTGTATAATTTATGAAACATTTTTGGTAGTTAAGATGTTAGAATAGTCACAAGTTCACAATTAGGACAAAAACCTCTATAATTAATATCTTAGAGATATTTAGTATTCTTATTAATTAAGATAGTTTGGATAGTTATTTCTATAGGTTCAGGAATCTAATCATCTGAATATGGTATGCATTTAAAACAAAAGTTTTCATGACATTTAAGACATATCAATTATTGTAAAGATAGTGATTTACAACATTGACAAATAAGATGTGGTAAGAATGTTGAAACTTTAGCATAATTGGCAATTCTATTTTCAGGCAAAGGGAAATTCATTTTTTATTGTAGTTATAAAAATTAAAATTTTATTAACAATAATATTTTCAGACTCTTTTTGCTTCATTAAAATTTTTAGCAAATGTTTATGCAATTACTAAAGGGAAAACAAGAGTTGCCTCACAAAATACTTTGACATACTCTGCATCAATTCTTAATTTACCCCAAGTTATTCCTTCTGATGGTTTTGCACCTGCATCACTTCCATCATATTAAATTCCTGTATTTATAAATACTGCCCAATCTGCACCATTTCTCCAAATATTTGCATTCATTAAATGATGTTTTACTACTCCTCCTCCTAATATTATTAATCCTGACTTTTTTGCATACATTGCTTTCTTATTTAACTTAACTACATCTTATAATATATCACATATAAATCCATCATATTTGTAATTAAAATAAAACATCATATCTCCTATAGCACCATCTGTTAATGCAGGACAATATACTGGAATATCATTCTTAGCACACCAATAATATATTGATCTTTCATCATTTATTCTCTCTCCAAATCTTTTTATCATTTATTACGGTGACCATATTCTTCCCTTCTCTTTTTATTCTTAATATACTTAAATCTTTTTTTATTCATTATCTTAACTTTTATTTCATTATAAATCTCCTAAAATATTGGCATTAGCCAATCTTCAAGTTTACCATAATTTGCTGCAGGAACATAAATATTACCTATCCTACAAATTGCTTTTAATCTTATCTCTTTATCATTCGCTTACCAATCTCCTTTATGAAAAGTTGAGATACATTTCATTAAATCTTCTTCTATTGCTCCTGCTGTAGTCACTATTGCATCAATCATTTTATGTTAAGCTAAGTATCTGATTAAATCTCTATTGCCAGAAGATACCATATTACTAGTGTAGCCTAAAAAAATGGTACATCTAGTATTTGGATCATCATTATCATCATTTGGACCTAATCGCCAATGGATCATTTTATTAATTTAATCAATAGCAGTGCTTAATTAAGATGCTTGTAATCCGAAGTTAGCATAAGATTTTAAGAGAGCATCAAAATTAACTCCTTGATTAAAATCATAGCCTTATATTTCAGGAGTTGTCACTGTTTCTGGTTACAGTTTATAAAGATTTTAGTATTGTTCTTCTGCTTATTTCATAATTAATAATTAATGGTAAATAATTACAAATATATATTATAATACAATTTATTATCAAACTTTCAGAGTTTGGGATTTGATTGAATAAGACTTAAACTGTTATTTCTTCAAGTATTTTATAAATATAATATGATTGTGAATAGATATTAGTAAAAAGAAATTAAACAAAATTTTATTGTAGAGATGTAAATTTTGTCATAAATAAAAATAATTTAAAACTAATACAGATATTAATCAGCAACATCCTCCTTAAGATGATTATTTCTTGGTACTTTATTAAAGATTGCTTCTTTTATTTTTTTGTTTAATCACAAACATTAATTCTAAGATTTCATATTTTATTACCATCTGCTAAATAATTGAAAACTTCAGATATTCCTTTTCCAGATTTAGCTGAAACTTCAAAATGTTTTGCATTATATGTATTACACAATTCATCAATCTCTAATCATATTTTCTAAAATAAATTACATGATTATTCTACATCTTTATGAATATGCATATCACATTTATTACCAACAATAACCATCAACATATTATCATTTTCAGCAAATTATTTTAATTCTTAAATCCATTATCTTCCTTTTTATAATGTTTCTTTAACAGTGGTATCATATACTATTATTGCAGCATCTGAATTTCTATAATAAAGAGGTGCTAAACTATGATATTTCTCTTATCCAGCAGTATCCTATTTGTCTATTTATTCACAACTACCCAAATTGCCAAATCTATCGGACCTTTTTTAGTTTGCATAGTTTTCTCTTTACAATATCCATCTGATGTTTCTTAAGTTTATTCAGAAAAAGAATTATGAAAGAATCTCGTTATTATTGATGTCTTTCCAACTCTTCCTTCTCCTAAAGTCACTACTTTGTATACTCTATCTTCAAATTATTGTTTTTTCATTACTTTATTATTTAAAATATAAAATTTGCTTATAAAATATATTCAAAATTCCAAATCTTTTATTTATTCTTTCGTGAATCTAAATTTTTATTATGTCTTTTGACAAATAAAATCATATTCAGTAATTTTTTATTACAATTTACATTTTACACATACTATCATATCATCATCATTATACACCAATTTTTAATTACAAGTATGAATCCAATTGTGATCTTTAAAACAAATAAGACATTTGAATTAAATAGTTTAATGTTATTCTTATTTTCCATATTACTTTTATTATTCATTATCTTCCTAAACAGATGCCAACATTTCACTATTCTTATGAGAAGAACGCTTCCTAAATCTTAATTTCATTTACTATTATTTCTTCAACTAATTTCGATTACTTCAATTATTAAAATTTATCATCAATATTATATGAATTCTTAAAATATGGAGTATTGGGTTGTTCCAAACTATGTTTCATTTGAATCGATTCTGACATATATTTATTTTATGGAGAATTTTTTTCATAATTCAAATACAATTCTAAAATTTCTTTTATTTCTTCACTTAATTCCTAGTATTCATCTTAATCTACTTCTTTTCTCATTGTTGATTATTAGAAAACATAAGAATTTTCAGGATTCTTGTTATTTTTATTGCTACAACAGACACCCATAAAATAATTAAATATTTATTTCAAATCAATAAATTCAATTTCTCACCATCTTTTATCCCTAATTCCTCTATTGTTTTATCTAAATTTAAAACGTTATCTCCCATGACTAATTGTATAGAATTACTTTTTATTTTAATTTATTAAACTAATTTTGTAATTTTATCTCCTATTTTTTATTCTGGTTTAAATTTTATATCAAATGTTTGTTTTCTTTTATCAATTATTATTTTTACATTTATAACAAATGGACAAACATAAATAATTTCATTTGAATATGGAATAGGATCAGAAGAATTTAAGATACCATCCTTATATCGAATAACTATATCATTCTTCTAATTATACTATTGTATAATGAATTATCTTAGATCTTCAACTTTCTTATTTTTATCAAATTTAATTTCATGCTTATAATCCTGAATTTAAACTGTCAATAAGTATTTATTTTAATTATTTACTTTATTTCCCACAATTTCGCTAGTTTGACTAATTTAACTAAATTAATATAAATTTTCATCAGACTTCTATTAATATTCCATCATCATCTCAGTAGATTTTGAACTTACAGATGTGCTTTCATTATTTAATATTTATGATTATTTATTTATTTGTTCTGATGGACATTTATATCTCAAATTTAAAATTAACTATCCATCTTTTGCAATTTATTCTAACTTTTATTCATCTTTGAGTATCTACTAGTCATCTAATATAAATTCTGCTTTAAATGAATTGCTGATACCTAATTCTTATCTTAAATCCTTTATACTTAACTCCTTATCTAATTCAATTTCGAATTATTAATTATTTTCTATAATTATTATTTGAATTTTTGAAGAAGTATTTTCAACTATTTCATACTCAATTATATCCATATCATAGAATTCTATATCTTAAAAAGTTTAATTTTAATCAATACTCTATTTTTTAAAATAAAAATTGCAATTATTTATTTTTAAATGATCTAACAGAATAGAAATTTAAGAATTAAAATAAACTTCAAAATATTATTATTCTTTATTTATATTATTAAATGTTCCTACCATAATTAAATCTTTGACTTCTATTTATAATTCTTTAATATTTAAACTCTTAATTTAAATATCTTTTATTATTGGATCAACTTGATTTTTTANAGACACCCATAAAATAATTAAATATTTATTTCAAATCAATAAATTCAATTTCTCACCATCTTTTATCCCTAATTCCTCTATTGTTTTATCTAAATTTAAAACGTTATCTCCCATGACTAATTGTATAGAATTACTTTTTATTTTAATTTATTAAACTAATTTTGTAATTTTATCTCCTATTTTTTATTCTGGTTTAAATTTTATATCAAATGTTTGTTTTCTTTTATCAATTATTATTTTTACATTTATAACAAATGGACAAACATAAATAATTTCATTTGAATATGGAATAGGATCAGAAGAATTTAAGATACCATCCTTATATCGAATAACTATATCATTCTTCTAATTATACTATTGTATAATGAATTATCTTAGATCTTCAACTTTCTTATTTTTATCAAATTTAATTTCATGCTTATAATCCTGAATTTAAACTGTCAATAAGTATTTATTTTAATTATTTACTTTATTTCCCACAATTTCGCTAGTTTGACTAATTTAACTAAATTAATATAAATTTTCATCAGACTTCTATTAATATTCCATCATCATCTCAGTAGATTTTGAACTTACAGATGTGCTTTCATTATTTAATATTTATGATTATTTATTTATTTGTTCTGATGGACATTTATATCTCAAATTTAAAATTAACTATCCATCTTTTGCAATTTATTCTAACTTTTATTCATCTTTGAGTATCTACTAGTCATCTAATATAAATTCTGCTTTAAATGAATTGCTGATACCTAATTCTTATCTTAAATCCTTTATACTTAACTCCTTATCTAATTCAATTTCGAATTATTAATTATTTTCTATAATTATTATTTGAATTTTTGAAGAAGTATTTTCAACTATTTCATACTCAATTATATCCATATCATAGAATTCTATATCTTAAAAAGTTTAATTTTAATCAATACTCTATTTTTTAAAATAAAAATTGCAATTATTTATTTTTAAATGATCTAACAGAATAGAAATTTAAGAATTAAAATAAACTTCAAAATATTATTATTCTTTATTTATATTATTAAATGTTCCTACCATAATTAAATCTTTGACTTCTATTTATAATTCTTTAATATTTAAACTCTTAATTTAAATATCTTTTATTATTGGATCAACTTGATTTTTTATAAAACATACAACTGGTTAATTTTTTGGATAAGAATTCATCAATAAAAACTCTTTTTAAAATTATTCTATTTTTTAATCATTATCAATGCTATAATCAATATATTATTTTTTATTAATAAAATAAATCTTAATTTATTAATTTTTTTTTGTTTTATGACCTTATTCTAAAATAATTATTTTGTAAGGTTCTTGATATGCAGTCCATAATTTTTTAACCAATTAAATTCCTTAAACAGTTTTATTTCCATATTCTAATTCAAATTCTTATTAATCTGAAATTGCAAAATGATTTCTCAGGATAATAAACAAATCTATTACGCATTTATCCCTATTAACAAAAATTTCATAAAGCTCTCCAATAAACAATATTTTTAATTTAATTTATAGAGGTAAATACAAAAATAATCCATTTTAAATTTATAAAGTAGCAAAAGTTTATTCGATGTTATCAATTTCTCTATTATTAAAACTTATCCAAACATCTTTAGTTTTTCTTCCAATTAATTTATAAATGTATTTTGATAATAATTCGTTTGATTGTGCTAAAAATTTATCTACATTATTTTATTCAAGATGTTAAAATTTGATTATAATTTAAATACCCGATAATGTTGGATTTTTAATTATAGCATGATTTTGTGTAATTTGCAATTAACTTTAATAGTTTTACATTTATTTATTTACAAATACTTATTCCTCTATAACAGAACAGTAATTCTTTTTAAAATCTTGTTTTTCTTTTTCCTAGAAACTAATAAATTGAGGCACTGTTGAAGTAATTAATTATATTACACTATTATTGGTAAGATTATAATATCTTATTGTGTTGTTTGATTATAATTCAATATCATTAAAAAATAATTTAAAATTGACTTCAGAGATAGTATGAGAAAAAAAGGATTTTTTAATTAAGTTAATTAATGTTTCCACTTTTTGATTTATGAGTATTGTAAATTGTTTTTTATTCTAATCATTAACAATAGAAAGAGTGACTTGGTGATTTTCTTGATTTTCATTAATTTCTTGATGTTCTATTATTTTAAATTTTACTTCTGTGTTTGGATTCACATGATATAAATAAAATTGATTATTGCCAATCATCTAATGGAGTTATATCTTTTAACTATTAATATTTATCTTGTCCCCAATTAATTTACATAAATCTGATAAAGTAATAGTGACATCGATGTCTAGTTTAAATAATTGTTTATTGTATATAAAGTAATTTTGTGAAAATACTTGATAAATTAAATTTCTTGATGCAGAATATTCAAACAAATATTTATTTTCAGATAGTTGTATGTCATTTATGGTAAAAATAATTGAATATTCAGTATTAAAACCTAATTTTTTTAGTAGAATAGATTTAAATTGTCTGATGGTAGTTGAGACTTCACATTTTAATTAATAGTTTCCTAATTTATGATTATTGACAAAAACTTGAATTAAATCTGTAAATTAGACTTCGATTAAAAAATTAGTTTAAGTAATTCTTAATTATTCAATAGTTTTAGAATAATCTAATTATTCAGCTTAATAAAATAATTTCACATTTTATGTATTGATAGATAAATTAAATTTGTTAACTAAAATGTTAATGATATCAATAACTTTTTATTGAGCATTAAATAGGTGCTAAAATGAAAAAAGTGTATTTCTAATTTAAATATCTATTTTTCTTTGATTCATTAAATAGTTAAATATATTATATTATTTATATAATAAAAATAAATGTATTAAAAAAGGAGAGAAGATTATATCTTTTATATATTAGTAAATGAAAGGATATTTTTTGGGCAATATATTAATTTATAAATTAACCGTCAAAAATATGTTAGTTCAATAATATAGATAATTACCTGCACCATAAAGAGACTTGCCTTTTAATTTAAGTTAAGCTCATTTTGAATAGAGAATGAGATTTTAATAATAACAAATATAAGCAAGAGTGATAGAAGAGAGACCTAATTTTTAAGAGATGTAAGGAGGTTAACCTCCAATTAAACCTTGGTTAGGAGAAGATGTATATATGGTTGCATTTTTGTTATCAGTTGAAAACGATAGATTAAGAGAAGAGAATGGAAGGATTAGTGAATATGTAAATTAGAATGAATTAAGATTTAAAGGAGTTGATTTAATTGAAGGAGAATTAATTTAATTGAGAAATAAAATAGGAGATTATGAGAAAAAGATTGCTTAATTATAATATGAGAGTGAATAATGGAGAATCAAATTTATTAATAGAGAAAAAGAAAGTGAAGATTAACGTTATTAAAAAGAATTATAAAGAAGAATTTAAATTGATAAAGAAATAAGAGAATTAACAGCAAGATTTATATCTGATAGAAATTAATTAGAAAAAGAAAATAGATAATTAAGAACTGAATTAGATAGTCTTAAACTTTCTAAAAGTAGTGTGGAAGATATTATGAGATAAGCAGATCTTGTATAAAAAGAAAATCATAGATTAAAATAAGAATTAGATAATCTTAGGTAAAATAAATCAATTATTAAAATTATAGAAAAGGTTTTGATGAATTAGAATATGTACTTAAAACAGCAGCAGATTTAGAAGCTGAAAATACTCAACTTAAACATTAAATGGAAAATTATTAAGCTTAATTATAACATCAATCATAATAATAACAAATCTAACCAATTCAAAGAGTTGTTGTTAATTCAACAGATTTATGTAATAATTATAACTAATTAAATAGAAAACTCAATCAATCTAGAATCAGAAAATAAGAGATTAAAAGATGAAAATGATAGATTAAAATTAGTTTTAAATCTAGGTTAAACTTCAAGACCATAACCTTTTATGTGATATATATATAACTATTAAATTATTCTAATTTTAATTCATTTCACAATCTCAAATTCATCATTTTAATCTAAGGGTATTTATGAAAAAAACAATTCATTATTTACTTCTTCTCCTTACAAAAATATTATTATGTTGTTCATATTGTATTTATTTTAAAATTCTTAAATAAATGTTTACACCTAAGAATTCAATAATACATATTCTGTGTATTTTTTATCATCTTAAGCATCATATAATGTAATCTTTAAAAAATTCTTATTTTATTTGTATATTAACTCTATCTCATTATTTCGATTTATTAAAGTCTTCAATAAGACATTATCTAATAAAGCTTAATTTTAATTATTTATTTCAAAAAGCTAATAATATTCATTAATTAATTTCTATTACTATTTTAAAGTTTTGATATCCATATCACTTTTAACACTAATTTGACTAACATTCCCATCTATATGCAATTTTAAATTTTTCTAGGTTTCTTCTATCTCTAAAGTTGAATTGTCTATCACTCCTTCTTCTATTAAAGTTCTATCCTAATTTATTTCTTTATTTTAATAATAAACTCTTGAGTTTTAAAAGTTTTTCGATTTAATAATTTCACTAATCTTAGCATTCTAATTGCAAATTTCAGAATGCAAAAATTATTTTGTATCATATTTAATAAACTAAATTGTCATTATTTTTGAATAATACAATATATCATCGCTTTCTATTTTTTCATTTCTAAATGAATTTTAAATATTCACAACTTGATTATTAAATAATAATTAAATTTTCTCTTTTATATGAAATTTAATAACATTATCAATTATTTCCTCAGGATAAAAAGTTAATTCAATCTTATTTGTATTGTTATTTTACTCAATTAATTGTGCACGTTTTGAACATTCTATTATTATTATAGTATTTAAATCTAATTTTAAATCTTTTAATTAAGTATTTTCATCTTAACAATTTAAATCTATAAAGCACCTTGATTTTCTATTTGCTATTTTTTCTAACATTTATTTTACAGTTAGTCTTTTATCATCTTTAAATTCATATGTAGGTTAAGTATTTTAAAATTTATATTTTATATCTACATTCTTTTTTGAAATCTTTAGAACTTTAGTTTAGTATTTTGAAATTTCTTCACAATCATCTAAATTTTTATTATTCTCATCCACAATAGAAACTTCATCACAAAATAAATCCATAAAATTATTCTTTATTATTGATATTTTATCTGTTTCGTAAAATTAAGTTTCTTACTACTCTATGTTATTTTCCAAAATTAATTAAAACTTAAGAGTAATCTCTTTACTTATTCTAAATATTGCATCTTTAGGAAATTCATTTAGACGATCATTGTTATTTAAAGTTTATTCATTGTATAAAATCTTGCAATTACAATTTATTTTATATATAGAACTTATTTTCTAAATTAAATCTTTTACTGTAGATGCATAATTTATGCTTATTAAAATTATTTATGGAGCATCTTAATTTTTAATTCTAATCATTATTTATATCAAAATTTCTGATTAATAATAACGAATTGTATCACCATCTCTAATATTCTCTGATTCATAAGTACCATTTAAATCTAATAATTAACCTTATTTATAAGCCTTTATTCTAACATTTTCAATATACTTTCTCTTCTTCATTTCATCATCTATGATTTCTTGAGGATTTACTGATATTGTAGTAATCTCATTTTCTTCATCTATAAAATTTACATTAATTTATTGATTCTACATCAACTAATATTAAATTTAATTATTATTATTATTAAATTAAATTTAGTTAAAAATTAAATCATCGCTGAATTAGAGTTTCTTGTCATTAATAAAAAATTCATATTTCTTCTCAATAAAAGGGCTTAATCTTTAAATTGAAGAAACTAAATCTAAATTTGATACATTATATAAAAAAAAATTGGATTGCTTTACTTTATCTACAAATTTTATTTACATAGATTTCTCTTATATTTTATCTTCTAAAATTAATTCTATATCTTATGATTCAAAAGAAATTGATGAGAAATCCAAATTTTCGATTTTGATATTATTGTTCAAAATCTTATTATTAAATTTAATTTATAACTTCTAGTTCTCATGTATTGAATAAATTTATTAAAGTTATTCAAGCAATTCCTTTATAGTTATACTAACAGAAACAATATAATTATAAATAGTATCATTATACCAGATTTATAATTTTTACTTACTCTTAATATTTAATTCCAATTCAGCACACTATGGTATTTTTTAGGAAAAATATGTATATTAATCTTATAATATTGTATTTTTGTAATATAATTCTATTTCTTCATCTATACCAAATTTTTATCTCACTTTTTATTTAATTTAATCAAAATGAGAGAAAGCATCCATTTAAAATAAAAATTACTAATCTTTATACTAAATGTAAAATTTAACTAACACCAAATAAAATATTTCTTATTAATAAATAAAAATCTGACAGAGTAATAAGTTCCTATCGAAAAATTGATTTTTTTTCATAATTTTTATTGAATAGAGACTGCAATTTAATGAATTTGCAATTTATTTCTCTAATTCTGATAATTACCAACATGCATCAGCTTTGTCTAATATGATTTTATGTTTGTCATCTTTACTAAGGTGTTAAATAGTAAAATTTTCTATTTCATCAGAGAAATTAATGTAAATAAAAGGATTTTAAATATCCTTAATGAAGAAGTTTCTATCTCTTTTAGAATTATCAATAGTGATATCAATTTTTGCTTTGTTAGGAAATCCTTTTAATTAATTTACATGTTAAATAACGTCATTAATAGTAGAAGATTAAGACTTAGGTTCATATTCAATTTTGAATTTGTTTTAGTTAATTAAGACTTCGATTTTTTTCATATTTTTATTATAATTCTCTAATTTAATTATTTAAAAAAAAATTATAATGATTTCATTTATAGAATATGTTATTAATCAATTTATTTGTTCATAATAGATTATAAAGTAATCATTTCAGAGGATTAAGGAACAAATTCAAGTATTTAAATAGAATTTTTAAAGTAATTTAGCTATTCTAAAAATTTTGAATAGCTAAATTTCTTTTAGTTATGCACTTTCAGGATGTTATCTTCTTTAAATTTTTAGTAAATCTTGTTAGTAATATCCTAATGATATAATTCTAAATGAATTTATTTTTGAAATGAGAAATATGAATTTAAAATTTCTATAATAGAATTGATATTATTAATTAAATATTAGGAATTGTTATTTATTAAAAAATGGATCTTAGAATATTTTGATCCAAGATTTAATTCTGATATATACCAGAATAACAATTTGTATAGTATGAAATTGTTAATTTAAAAATATTATTTTACTAATAAGATTAGTTTTATCTAGTTAAAAATTCTTTGATGTTTGATTAACATAATAAAGCTTATTACTATATGAACTACTTTATCTAAATCTGAAAGTATTTCCATTCATTTTTATTTTTTTTTTTCTTTTTTCATCCATAAAAAAAAAATGATGTGTATATATTTGTATATTATTTCAATCTGTAAATCAATTATTCATATATTTATGTTATAAATTACCTTAATTAATCCTATAAAATTGCAAATCTACTTAAAAATCAATTTTATATAAAAAATGTTCATTTATCTTTTATTTTCCTTTAACTTCAGAAATTTATCAGATTGTAATTATCTTTTTTAGAAATTGAAAATCCAAAAGATATTATTAATTTATCAACTTATAAAAATATCAACTAATTAAAGATAATTTATGAATATAATTTGTTAATCCCATTTGAAATATGAAGTTCATATTTAGATTTATTATGTTTGAATAATTTCATTATACATTATATAGTAGTAATCACTTCATATTATCCTACCTATTCAATTTAATTGTTTAATCTTAAATAAATTATTATTTAGTAAATCTGATAATCTAACATGTTTCTATTAATAAATATTAAATATTATATCCATCATCAATTTCTTTTGTTTGTCATTTACTTTGAATTGTTTTAAATTGTTTTACCAAATAATACCATACAGTTCCCTCTTTATAAAATAATAATTTATTTATTAAATGTTTTAAAAATAAAATGTCAGAAAGTGAAATTTCATTTGATTTCAATGAAGACGAACCTGTTGAAGAAGTCAAATGTTCTCAAATGCAAATAAAATCTGAAAGATAAATCATACCTTTCTCCAAAAGTGATAAAAAAGATAAAAAAGAAAAGCTGAAACAACTGTAATAAACAATTTAAGGATAATTCTCAGGCAAATAATAAATGACTAAAGATCTCTTATTCTTATTGAAATTTGAATAGCACATGTTGAGCTCAATTAATAGTTTGCATCAAAGAATCATGAGATCTTTAGAAACAGAAGCCCCATAAAATTGAACTCATTTAATAATAATGCATATAAATTTATATTTATTTATTCAATATAATCAATTCAACCTTATTTATTAGTTACTCTTATTTTCAATACTACTATTTATCCTATTTTTATTATTTTTTTAACCTTACCTTACATCTAATCAATATCAATAGTTATTATTCTTAATCTTTTCTGAATTTTTATTCTTACTATATTTATCTTTATAATTCTTTAAATATTAAATAAAATGGATATATTCATATCTCACATTTTGATGAAAATCAAATTTACTACCTTACATATTTGCATAAAATAGGAATTAAGAGGCAATTTAATTATCATAATTTAAATCTACATATAATTTGTTAACCTTTTCTTCTCATATATCAATATTAATTAATATTCTTCATATTAATATTCTACAAATACTAAATTTTTAAATTATTCATCTCATTTCCTTATTTATTAAATGATAGAATAGTTTAAAAAAATAGACTTTATAATCTATAAATTAAATTTATATTTAATTGGTTTAAGTAATTTAAATTAATTTAAGTAAAAAAATTCTGATTTCTTTTTCTCACATTATGTATATACACTTTCCCTTTAGAAGCAATTATTTGATAAAGGAAATATATATTCTTTATAGATTAATAGAGTAATTGAAATCATTTTTTTTTTAATGGAGGCAACTCTAATTTTTGTTTGATAACTTATCTCGATTTGACTGAATTTTCATTCAATGCCTCTTCAAATGTTTTAGGTCTGGTTGAGGTTTTTGACTAAAAACATTTTTTAAAAGAAGCAATAGTAAATTTTTAATCTTCTAGAGTGTTTAAATTTTCAAATGAAGTCTTTGGCTTTGATTTTGATCTTTATTTTTAATCTTTAGGACTTGTCGATCTTAAATTTTTTATTTTATGATTATTTGAAAAAACTCTTTATTTTTATAATTTAGGATTTGGTAAAGATTGATATTGTTGTTATTATTTTTTCTTGTCACTCAATTTTTATAAGATCTCATCATCTGGATAGGGTTATTGAATGGGACAATTCTTCATTAGGTATTATAAAAAGAAGAGTAACTTAAAAGACTAGATAGAATAAATATTGTTGTTACATTTCTAATTTATTGATCTTTAATAAATTAAGAGATTTGTTCATTATATGTCAAGGGTATTTTGTCTTAGAAATTACGAGTTATCCATGGATGAATTAATGCCTATCCAACACTATATCTTTCTATTGGTTCAATAGTAGTCAACTTTTATATAAGATCTTTTGCTAAAGGATTCATATGATCTGAAAAGTGCCATATTGGATTCATAATTTTTTTAATCACTTAATCTCTTGTTTCATTTTTATTATAAAAGGGATGCTAACCAGAATTCAATAACATGTACATAATAACTCCACAACTCCATGAATCAATTTATTTACTATACTATCTATTTAATGCAATTGAATACAAATTTTTCCTTAAATTATTCAGGTGCCATATAAATAATGGTTCCACATTTTTTATTTAATAAGCTGTAAAACATGCCTTCAGATGCAAATTTGAAACTTAACCCAAAATCTGCAATTTTGACAGTTTTAATATCATTAGTGGCAAACATTATATTTTCTGGTTTTAAGTCTCTATGAATAATTCTTTTTTCATGTAAATAATGAACAGCTAATAGAATTCCTTTCATTATCATGGATAATTCTTGATCTGAGTGGTCTTCTTTCATGCGTTAAGCTAAGGTTCCACCTTTCATTAATTCCATAATTAAAAAAAATTAGTTTTTATTTTCTGTAATCTTCATAAGAATGCTAAAGTACTCTTTTGCATTAAACGATATGAGGATGATTTAACTACTAATAAATATCTGACTCAACTTATGCATCCTTAAAAAGTGTTTTAGATACAACCTTAATAATTATTACAATAATATTTAACCTTGACAGCACATTCTGTATTATCTATCAAATCTATAGCCTTGTACACTTTTCCAAAGCTACCTTCACCTATCTTTCCAATTTCTTTTATTTTATACATTTCTTCTAAGAAATCTACATCTTCTCCTTAGAACATTAATTTATAATTAACTTTAATATTACTAGAATTGAAAATCTAACCTTTTATAATCAGAATAAGAAATATCATTTTTAAATATTTATAAAAATACTAATGTTCTTCTTCATTGACTTTCACCTACGAGCAACTCAAATTATAGCTCAATTGGAGATCTATCTAATTCAGATGCAATCAGATTTTCATCAATTAATTATTTATCTTAATGTTTTAATACATATTTTGAGATATCTAATCCATAACCTGCTATTATTTGATTATATACTGTTTTTTTAATGCTTCCTATTCTAATATTTTAATCTATTTAATATTTCAATTTTCTTTATCCAATTAAAACAATAACATATTTTTAATCTGATCTTATTTAAATCCTGTTTGAAAAATTTTCTGATGGTTCATGAAGATCTTCTTATTCATCATATTTAATATATTCATTTGCAGCCAATTATATTGATCTAATTTTTGTTGAAAAATCCAAATTTTAATTTTTATGATAAAATGCATTTATTTTAACTTCTAATCTTTTAGCTAATTCTTCTAAAGTTTCCTCTTATTATACTTATAATTATTATTATAATCCTGTTCGATTATTTTCAAAATTTACTATTATAAAATTTAATTGATATTTAATTAATCCATTATTCTCAACTGGTAAATCTTTTATTTTTCTATTTGCATCTAATAATTATGATTTATAAGTAAATTTATCTCCAATTATCATTTAGGCTTATAGAGCATGTTATAAAGTTTCTTCTAATTATACCTAAATTATCTTTTTGTCTCCATAATTACTTTCTAATTACAAATCTAAAGTATATTACCAATCAACTATTAATTGTTTCTAACTTTAATTTATATAATTCTTAATCTATAAAACACTTTCATTTTCATTTATTAATCTATCGCCTACAAATAATTTAAGTACTTAATTCTTAGCCAATGCAAATCTACGCTTTATTGTTTCACACATTCCAATACATGTATCATCTTAATTTATATGAAATTATGCATTTTAATTAAGCTCTTTAATTAATATTGAAAATTCTATTGATTTTATTACAGCTACTGGAGGTTCAATTGTCTTCTTAAACTCAAATTTAAAATTTTAATTTATTATTAAAAATTACTTTAACGTCTCTTTTTTGTTTTATTAATTTATCTATTATAATGTTAATGATTAATCAATTTTATGTTGTTTTCTAAATTAATCTTCTATCAAAGAAATTGATTGATTTTAATCTACAACTATTTCTAATACTTTTTTTTCTACAGAAGCTTAAAAAATAACATATTCAGTATAATAAACTAATGTCGAATCTTAAACTATTTATAATACATCAAATCTAGAATTTATATCAATTATTTAATTATTGAATTAAACAATATAGTATTCTGTTTTTTTTAAAGCTTCTGTTTTAAGAACTTCTCTTAACCCATCAATAACAGTAGCTTTACATGAAATAAGAATTTATTTTGATTTATTTGTTTATCTATTTTCAAAATTAATTCTTATTTAAGTAAAGTCATCACTTGGTTCATGAAGCTCAATTTCTTAAATTTTTTAACTTTTTTCATTTTATATTATGGATTCTTATTTCGATTCTATTTCATATTTAATAATGCTCTCTGATTACAAATCTAATTGTCTTAAATTAAATTTTCTATCTTTTAATGACTCATCAATATAATAACTAATAATTTGTGTATTTTTATCATGATTTATTAATTAATCCAAATCAGCTAAAGTTGAATTAATAGGCATTCTCTTTATTTGTTTATTCTGGGTTTATCTATTTAGTAATTATATATTAATTTTATTATCAGAAGGTTCCTTTATAATATTTAATTAACTATATGATGGTATATATTCTTATTTTACTGTATTGTTAATATCAAGATTATATCCATTAAGTTTGTATTCTAATTTTATAGGTATAGTTTTTTCTATTTTGAATATAGTTCTAATTAATCGTAAAACTTCAAATATTTCTAAGTCTTTTCTTACTGTTATTTCTTTAATTCCTTATTATTCAAAAGATAATTTATAAACAAAATCTTCTGTTATTTCGGCTACCCATGGAATATCTGGAATATTTAATTATTTATAAAATTCATCAGGGTTTATTGGTCCAGAATTTGTTTTAAAAATTAAGCATTCTTCATTCAATTATTATGTATTTTTAAATTATTTGATAATCTTAGCAATAGGTTAAAACAGATCGATTTTCATTTCATAATTAGTTTAATTGAATACTATTTTTTGTATTTTTGTAATAATAAGTCTAATTTTCACATTTTTAAAAATTCCAAATTTACCCCAAGAATCTCTATCTAATTAGTTACCATTTTATTAATTGATTATTACTATTTCACATGAATTAATCTTTATTATTTCCCTAATCAAATAATTCTTAAAAATATTAACTGAAGCAAATGCATCTGTTTCATATCTAATCGTACCCAGAAATTCATGATCACATTCAATTATGATTTTTTTAGATAATTTTACTTCTACTTTTGAATAGTTGTTTATATCAAGTGCTTCTATTGTTTTATCAATATCAACTTGTACATTTTCGACAAAAAGATTACTCTATACAATCTATCTAATTTCTTAATCAAAATCTAGTTTATTAAAAAGTTATTGTATAATATTAGAACCTTTTTAATGAGGAAACACTTCAATATTCTGGCTTGTTTTGAGTTATTCCATTTGAACACTAATCTTTATCATCAAATTACGATTTTTAATTAATAAGAATTATATTTCTATTACTTATGTTAAGATAGTATAAAATTTTAAAAAATAATTTACTTTTATACTTATTGAATCAACTAAACTAAAATATCTATAAAATATGAGAAGATTTTTATTATTAATTATTATTTTTATCTTAATTAATTAATGAAGCAAGAAAATGATCAAAATTACTTGAAAATACTTAAATAATTGTAAGTTTATCGAGAAATCAACTTCAAAATATATAATTTGATCCTAAAAATCCATTTCAGAATTAGTAAAACCAAAATAATCAAAATCATAAATTAAATAACACAATATCATAACTTTAAAAAGCACAAATAAATTAACCTTAAAACTAAATGCAATATTATTCATAAGAAAGTTTTGGAAGTATCAATTATTAGAATTTTCTTCCAAAATAATTATAATAAAAATAATAGTATTAAAATTAATCCAATAATCAGAATTAGTTTTCATCTTCTTATAATCATCCATATTAATATCTCATGGATACAAGTATGATATTCCAGTCTAGTAGAGAGATTTAAATTAATATTAATTTTGAAATATTTAAACATAGTTTCTAAATGGATATTAGAAAAATCAATGAAGTTATAAATTAATTATAATTATTTTATTAAAAATTAAAACTTAAAAAAAATATTGAATTCAAAAATTCTAATTTAATTTCCTTCTCCTGTTTTTCTAAAAAATTTACTATAATCTTATTTTAAAAAAGCTTGGATTCTCCAAAAGTGAATTAAAGTTTGAGATAATTTTCTAATCAACCTATTTTTAGATAAAAGCATAGTTAATACTTTAATTTAATTCATAAATAACTGTAATGAATAATTGCTATTATAAATTCATAGAAGTCTTTAGAATTTTAGAGCTAACTTAAATTCAAATAAGATTTTCTTTTAATTTAGAATTAATTGATTTCAAATTATTTTTTATTTAATTATAATTGATTATTGTATTTAGCTTTATAATATTTGATATCTATTTAAGTATTCATGAAAAAATTATCTTAATCTTATTTTTAATATTTAGGTTTGAACAATTATTATCATTTTATTTTTCATCTTTAATATATAATATTAAATCATTTCTCGTTATTTTATATGTTAAATATAAAAGTTAGATGTAAAAAGTTATTTTAGATTTAAATCATTTATTAAATGAGCAAAAGTAAAGATATTGGGAAAATTTTCTTAAATAATTTTTATATTTTTTCAAACCCTTCTATTTTTGTGTTATTTTAACTAAATTATGATTTATTTCAAAAAATTGTACAAATTACCTTTGGAATTGAAAGTTGTTTGAATATTAAAATTAATATATGAATTAGATAGCGTTATTTTTGATTCTTATTTTTTTTGGAAAAAAATATTCTATAATTTCAACAACATTTATTGATATTCTAATTTAACTTATTATTAAAATTCATTCTATTTATCAACACAGAAATAGCTGTTATAAATTGATTTAACAACCTTCAACTTTGATAAATGAAAAGTGATTCGATCTTTAAATTTTAAGAAATCTTCTTGTATCAATTTTACAAGAGTGATCATTAATGGAATTATGATGTAAGTACTCTGAATTTTATTAAAGATTTAAATTTTTAGTTAATTAGGAATATTAATTTTTTAACAATTTACTAAGTACTTTAAATGAATTATGAAATGAATAGTTGTTGGATGCATAAATTAGATTAAATAGTATATAATAATAAAAAATAATAGAAAAATAGGAAATAATAATGTAAATGGAATAAAATACATTATTGGAGATGAATGTAACAGAACATTTGATTTGAATAAAATTTGAAAATGCAAATAATGAAATAAAAGTATAAATATATATATATAAAATGAATTCTGATTGATTATGTTAATGAATTTAAATAAATTTAAATAAAATCTAATAAAACATTTATTACCTTTTAGGATGAAAAAACTGAATAATTTATAATAAAAGTATAATATATTATATAACTCGATGTATACAAAAAATATAGTCACTATTCTGTTTTTTTTGAACATATTCAGCATTCAGAATCATATTCATCATTGACATTACTAGATCTGAATCCTTTTTGAGCATTAATAGAAGGATCTTCTGGTAGAGAATTCATATGTCTATACTCACTAAAAGATAGTTAAATTCAAATTACCTTCCCATAACTTGATCCCATCTATAACGAAGGTATTTGTAATATCGATTCTTAACCATGCTTACACTCTTGCCTGGAAATGATTTTGATATTTTATAAAACTTTGGTCCTATCTTAAGAACAAGCTCTAGAATTCTCTTATCTTCAATACTAGAGAAAGGATGAGCATTTGATTTAGGTTTCTCCATTACAAGGCACACTTTCAAACCATTTTCTTTTATATGAATAATAGGTTTTGGGGCAGGGCGCTTCTTTTTCTTATGGTAAGTGTATTAAATTCTTTTTGGAGGACGTCTTCTTTGAATTGGTAATTTTATTTTTTGAATTTCTTGCTGTTATGGAGTCGATAAACTCGAATCTAACAAAATTCTTATGATATTATATACCTTAATCTATACAAGAGGTTTAGACTTAATCAGATAAATGTAAAGTATTTGGAGAACTCAAAAAACCAAATAGTCCAAGTTCCTAATCAAACTAATCTTCTTTTTGATCTTCATATCTATCCACAAAGTTTATCATTTATATTTTTTTATGTTTATTAATGTTTTTATTTTTATTTTTATTCCTATTTATATACTTAAATTCACTTTTTATGACGAAACCTATTACTATTTAAAAATTATTTTACTCATTTTAATCAATTTACATAATTATTATATCTAATTCATTAAATTATGCTTAGATATTTTATTTCAAAAAGTTTTTTTTTTCAATTTTTAAAATACTTAAATTTTCTCACTCATATTAATTCATTAAATGTCAGTTAGAAATTAATTATTGCTATTTATTTGATTTAACTCTATCAATAAACTTCAACTTCTTTTCAATAGAATAATCAGAATATTCTGCCATTACATTCAATATAAATATAACTTAAATGTCTATGTTAATTTGATAATTTAATTAATGAAATCTAATTTTTCTATGAAGAAATATACTATTTCTTGTATTAATCAAATTCAAAAAAACTGAATATTTATATTAAGAATAAGTTTATTTGGAAGTTTTATTAACTTTGGTTCAATTTACATTACAGTTATTTTTTGTAATAATTAGAGTAGTAAATAACAAAACTAACAGAATTGATGAAATTATTATACATAACTATTCAGTGATCAATAAAGGTTCAAAAAACCAGTAAAATTCTTAAAGGTTCTTATTTTTTTGTTTTATTTATGAAAGTTTATTTGTAAAAACAAATTAAGGGTTTGAGACAATTTATATACTATCATCCAAAATAAAAAGTGAAGTTAGATTTAAAGTTAAACTACAAAATTTATATAAAGAAATTCAGAAGTTAAACATGAATTTAAGTATAGTATATTTATTATTATTTTTCTGAATCTAATTTAATATAAGCATCTGAATTATAAAACAATAGAAGAAGAGTGAAATATAAAGTTTATTAAATTCAAGTAATTAAGAAGTGTTTTTTTTGATAATTTATGATTTCAAGGTTTTCCTTTTGATCATTTAATCAATTAAAATGATAAAAAGATGTTGTAAAAGAAATAAAAGAAATATGATGAAATTAAACAATAAATTTATGAGAATAAGTAAAATCATATATTAATGTTTTTGAATATAACATAAAGTCATTTAGATATTATATTAGAAGTATTTACAGATATTATATAAAATGGTAGATAATTGTGAATTTTGCGAATACTAATTTACGAGCTTATTAAGAAATTGTATAAGTCCAATTTTATCCAAAAATTATAGTAAAGGTGAATGAGGACACAAAGAATTAACTTACTCTAAATATTCTGAACTCATTAGACAAATTTGAAATACTTGAATAGTTTAAATTCCCATCTTGTGAATGAGAACAAATTTCTGCTTCTAAATTTGATCGATTAAGTTATATAAATCAAATGTGTTTAGTACAATGAGTTTCATGGATAGGTTATGGACTGTATTTGAAAGTAGAGGAGTAGAATAAGAATGGCATTAAAATGGAAATCTTAAATAATAAATGATAATTTGATTGTATGATGAATGTAAATGTGTTCTTTTGTTTTACTTAAAATTATATATATAATAACTATCAGAAAATATTTTAAAGATTTGGGGAATGACTTCTAAATTATTTCAGGATTCCTAAGTTGGATTTTCTGAATTTTGATGCAAATTCAGTATAATATTATAAAAATATAATTCATAAATATCACATTTTATTATTGAGATCAAAAAAATAAATGATGAAGTATTGAGTGACATGGAAAGATATAGAAATTTAACCTATTTTTAACAAAGAAGATTGCGAGGGCTTACTATCAAAAGAGAGAAATCATAAAATATTTTAAGAGAATATTTGTTTAGAATAGCATTTATATAATTAAGATATAAATTTTGAAATGTTACTACTTATTATATGTTTTCTTAAAGAGATTCAACTTCTAAGAGTTAATTAGATATCTTTAGAAAATGGATATAGAAATACATAAAATCAATAGAACTTTTATTGATAATGATAACTTAGCATGAATCATCTATAATTTAAAATAGGAATGAAATAAGAGATCCATTTAAAAGGAGTAAAGTAATTTTATAATTAAGGAGTAATTCAGACAAATCAATAAGATAATATATAATTTAATTAAAGATAATAATAATAATAATAATAATAAAATTAATAGATATTAATTGATAAATAATTTTAGGATATTATTATTAAATTAATATAATTCAATATTTTCCTTATTCAAATTAAAATAGATCTGCCATTTCTTCATCTTCATCATCTGAAAAGCTTTAATTTTTTTCTTATTTTAATTCTTATATTTAAATTTATTTTTCTTCTTATTTTAATTCTTATAATTAAACTTATTTTTCTTCTTATTATTTTAATTCTTATATTTAAACTTATTTTTCTTCTTATTATTTTAATTCTTATATTTAAACTTATTTTTCTTCTTATTATTTTAATTCTTTTATCAATTATTGTTAGTGTTATTCTTGTTGTGGTAATTTTGCTCCAAAACTATGATTAAATAACGGCATTTGGCAATATTATTGTTGGAATATTGGTGGTGGTGGTGGTTATTATAAATTAATATCTGTTTTTAGAAAATTAGGAAAATTTGATTATGGTTAATATTATGGATTTGTAAGAGGTTATGATAATCTATCTTTTCTAATTTCTTATCTTTATACAGCTGTTTATAATTTTAAATTATGTTATTGAAAATTATAATTTTTTTGTTAATTTAATTGATTGTTATTAATGTTAGCATTTCTTTAAACATAGCCATCCCATTAAGTATTATATGTTTATGCTTCTTAATAATTACCTTTTTTAGCTATTTATGCAGTTTTTTAGGCCATTCTTTTATGAATAACTTCAACTTCAGCTTCTTCTTCAGCTTCTTAAACATTTTCTGTAGTAGATACCTATTAAGTTACAACTCTCATTAGTCTATCTCCATGTAAATTAGTATATTAAACTTTAATTTAAAATGGAACAGTTTTTAAATCTTTAATATCAATTTATTCTTTTTATAATTCTTAATCATTTTTAACTTAATATTCAAAAGTTTATGTAGTAGCAATAGTAGCATTACCTATTTCTCTTTTAAGTTTATTTCCAATATTTGGATCATCTTCTCCTCTGAATTTTAAAGCATGATGTAAATTAACAAATAATTAAACTTAAGTACCGACTAATTCATCTTTTAAAATATTAGCAAAATCTTTTTCAATATCTTCAGGTTTAACTCTAGTAACAGTACCATTTGTTTTTTCAGATAAAGAACCTAAAATATCAACTTTACATCCTTCTCCTTTTATTGTTACTACTGATATTACAACACCACATTATGAAGCAAAAACACCTAAATCTTCATAAAATTATTTATTTGCATCATTGTCTAAAGATCCTAATCCTAAATTTGCTAATCCATCTGTACATATTATTATCATAGAACCAGGTTTACCAACTTTTGCTAATTATAATGCTGATATCAATGCTGGACCTAATGCAGTCTATCCTTTCTCTTGTAATTTCTCAAATTTTTTCATTAATGTTTCAGCCTACTCCTTAATTGGATGTTTCATCAATTATTTTGCTGTACCATTTAATAGATTCTCTATCTCATCTTATTTAAATAGTCTATCACCAGCTATTGTTATTGGTACTTCTGAACCATCTCCATAAACTACTACTTCATTATTAAAAGTAACTAATCCTACTATCTTATTTGGATTCTTTTTCTTTAATTCTCCTATTTATTATTCTATTGCTGCCATTACACATTATTTTCTAGATACATGAGTAACATGTTTAGTATTAAATTATGGCCATATTTAATGTTCATCTCCTGGTTCAATAAATTATTTAAGCATTTCATATTCCTCTGCTGATATTCCGTGTTTAAAATTTACCTTTCCCTTTATCTCTACTGTACTTGACATAGAACCACTTGTATCAATACAAAATACTACTGAATTATCACCATTTTCTATTTATATTTGCATTTCCTAAGCAGATTAAATTAAATAAATTGTATCCTCATTTTTTGGTATCTCTTCCTTCTCTATTTGAATCTAATTTTTAGTATTGCAAAATTCACATATCCAAACTTGTTTTCCAAATTATTGATTTTAAACATCATCTTCTATTTTTGAGTATTTGTTTAAAACTGTCTCACATTGTTAACACATAATAGGATCCCCCTAATGTATTTTAACTATATTTTCTTTTAAACAATCAAACTTAACTTGGAAGATATTTGTATCAACATCATCTAATAATTAGAACTTTAAATTTACATTTATTATCGCCATTCCTTCTTTTCAGATAGGCCTTCTTGGAACACATTGCCATCATGGGTTTTAAATACTTTTATTTTATAAAATGATTTAAACATATTGTAAAAATGGATTATATAGTAAAAAATTATGCTTTCTATTATCATATGTCTGGTCAATACTATTATTAATAATTATACAAATTAAAAATTAATGTAAAAGGTTAAGACTTAAAATTACAAAGAATCTCACACTTTGGAGGAGAGAAAGAAAAGAGTATAAGAATAATTAGCAAAATATCCTGAAATGATTCCAATAATTGTGGAAAAGATTCCAGGGTGTAAATTACCTTAATTGTAAAAAGTGAAGTACCTTTATTTAAATGATTGAATATAGGTTTTTAGTGAATTCTACTTTCTCTTTTAATGAATTTAAAAATACAATAAAAAAGAAATTACAATTAGATGAAAAAACATCAACTTTATTTATGTATTGTGGAAAAAGCCTCATGAATGAACGTATATCATATTATGAATAAGTAGATGATAAACTGAGAAACATTTACGATTAATACAAAGATCCAGAAGATGGATTCCTTTACTTGCAATATGCCGATGCAGAAACCTTTGGTTAATGAATAAATAATAATTTCTATAATATTTTAAATTCAAGCACCTTCTTTTTCATCTATCCTCTTCAAAACATCAACTTTGGGTACTTGAAAAGTCAAGTGAATTGTATGTTTATCTAACTAAAAATCATTAAAATACCTTCTTAGTTATATTTACCCATTATTTTCTTTAAATTTTATTATCTCCAATTATTATAATTCTTAGATTATTCTTCGAATTCCCGAATCGATACACGTATGTATGGTTATTACATCTAGTTAATTTCGACTTCATTTTTATCTCCATAATTAATTATATTATCTTACAACTTAACTTCTTATGCATAACAGTTCTAGGAACAATTACTGATTTCAATTAATTCTACTTTAATTATGATTCATCTTATTCTGAAACTAATCTTTCCAATTTCAATTATTCCATCATTTTTGGTTCCTCTTACTGTTGCATTCTTAATTCCTACTCTCTTCTTAATTTCTTATGCACCATTCTAAAATAATAATTCTTATGATCTTATTCATATTCTCTCTAATTCTCCTTTACTTTTGCTTGTTCCAACTTACTTAAGAATCTTAAATATTTTATGTAAATGTAATCAGACTAAATCAATATTCGCACACCTTACAATTAGTTTTTATTAGGGTTAACGATTCTCAAAATAGCTCTAATTCTTCTTTGGTCGATTAATCAAAGTATATTGTTATATAATCTATCTAAGTCTAATCAATTATTATTTACTCTTCGTCCAATCCTCCAACTTTTGGGTTCTTATGTTCATGAGATACTCGATAAAGCAAAAAATAATGAAATACTAATCTCACTGTCCTACTCCAATGCAAAAACAACTTAAAAACAGCCTTCTCGAATAAAAATTCACAAATATCCTTCTTAAAGTCTACTATTCAATTTTTAAACTTTTAGTATTACTTGAAAATAAAGGATATATATTGTAAATCAGCCATACACATTTAGCTATACTCATTGCATGTTCTGAATCTATTATTATTTACTTTATTCCTTTCAAAAAAAATGGATAATCAAAATATGCAGGCATTGTTGTCAATGTACCAAAACAGACATCCAATATTTCAAATGTTTCTATCACTTATTCTGCATTATATAGACTTATTTATTACATTAAATACTTAGTTTTATTGAATTGTAAATTAACTACAATTCCTAATAAGTTTACATTTTATAGCAAACTTTTTAAAGCTATTTTCATTGCGTCTGGAATCGATTCTTATTATTTAAGTTCACACATAAATGCTTTTACTAAAATTCTATAACCTGGAATATCCTACCAAGGAAGGATTTTTACTTATAAAATATTTCTTACATATTTTGCCCATTCTTCTACAAAAAAACAAAAATTGATTGATCTATGTCGAATATGTTCTTTCCAACTTTCATCATCTAATATTTGATTCAAAAGAGATTAATTTTATATTCCTTTAGTTTTATCAGATAAATATGTATGAAAATAATTCTACCAATCAAAAATTGAGATATTGGTTTTTGTACTTTTATCAATATTAGTTATATCATCTTCTTGTATAAATTCAGTTCCTCTTAATTCTAATAATTATGGATCATCAGCTTTATTGATTAATTCTAGAAACTTCGCTCTGAATTCTGGTATTCGAAAATAACTTATTACCAAAAATTTAATATTTAATTATCTAGCTTATTGACTTGGATCTTTTTGGTTTAATTTTTATAAAGTAAATCTAAGAGTATTCACTAAAAATGATTGATAATTTAAACCAACTTCAGTTTTTTATTCTGATTATTTCTTGCTTAAAGCCTTAAAAAATCCTAATTATTATAACATCAGTTCTCCTCTACTAAGTACTTAATTTAGGCATTCAAAATAAGAATTAAATGTAGCTAATGTTTTTTAATAATCCACTAAATGAATAGATAATTAAATTAATAATTATTAAGCCTTCATTAAATCATCTTCAGATTTATATTGAAATGTTTTAATATTATTTCCATGTGATTATCCTAATAATTCAGCTAACTTATCCAATTATTAATCCATATCTTAACGAACCTTCATTTTATCTTCCATATTTAAAGTTTTATGTTCTATTTTAAATATAGAACTTGATAATTTTTGAAATTCAATTTAAATCATCTTAATTTCTGTAACACTTATATTTTCAACATTTCCTACAACAGATGCACTCTAGACTATACCTTTTTCTGTTTAAACACCAAAAGATGATTATTATAAATAATTTGGTAATTTTACACTTATTTCATAATCTATTTTACCAACCTCAACACCATGATACCATATTGATTTTGCCTATTAATTGCTAATAATAAAAAACTTAGCTCCCAAATCAGCAACCATGTTAGTTTCTAAATTTGATAAATTAATATATGTTTCTGCAACTAAATGAAGATCTTATATTTCTAAATCCATATATTCTGAATCATGTTTATTTTGTGTTTTTTTAATAATAGTTTTATGAGGAGACTTACCACTTTCCAAACTTTTTTTATTTGATGAAATTGACCATAAACATATTTGTATAGCAGAAATTTAAAATTCTGAGATTGGTAATTCTACAATTAAAGTTAATTCATCTTCAGCATGATCCCATTCAATTCTATGATAAGGTTAAGAAGCTAATGATTATCCTTTATTTGTTGGTGTGGCTGCAATTATAGAATCAAGTGAATGATTTATAGTTCCACTGCTATTTATCATAGAAGGTATTTTTGGAATAGATATAATTGAATCTCTTAAAGAATCTTGATCTAAAATATTCTTACGACTTTAAGATATCATGCTCTTCTACTTTTCATTTTATTTTCTATAGTTTGGATTCACAAAAATGGTTGAATGTTCAGAGATGAATGAGAATTATGAAGTCTTTTATTTTAGTTAAAATTTTTACCACCAGACGTAAATTATAGTTGTATCTAACATCACTTAGACTTGAGTTTAACTCCCAAATAATAAACTTACTTTAAAGTGTTGCCTATACAATTTGATTCATTTTCAAATCAAAGCTAACATTTCCAACATTTTTTCCTCTGATTGGTAATTGAAAGTGAAATGGACCAACTGCAGCTTCAAATAAATTGATTGTCACTTATCCTATAACTTAAGTATCGATCACTGAGATTTTCATATTGGATTCTCTCATCTACTACTCTGTCATTTTCAAGGTTCCATCAAAACTAGCTCGCCACTTCCTTCTATGAATTAAATACATAATGATCTCCATTGTTATCTATATGCACTGGGGATGTGTACTTACACTACCCTAAATCAAATTCAATAGAGCATTGTCTCACACCTGTCATTTTCAAAGTAATGTTCTTTAGCAATACCTTAATCTATAATTCTCCATTAGTTATAATTGGTTGATTTAGTTTATGAACTTAATCTTCCTAATTTTTAGGCGTACTTCCACAAATACCCATTATGTAATATATATAGTATTAAATAATATTATTTCTTTATCATCTGATATAGTTTTAAATTATATATTTTTAAGATTTAATAATTAGATTTTGAAATAATAATTAGTTATATAAATATATATATCATTTGTTAAATTATAATTTATTTATGTTTTTTATTTTTTGGTTTCATATAAGTTAACTTGCTTAAGATTTGCTCTTAATTTATTTAAAATCCTTAGATTTATGATTATTATCATAATGTTCAGCCCTAAATAGCTGTCTATAAGTTGATATAATTGTAAAATTATTGCTATCAGCTCTAGTTTATGTACAATGATCAGTTAAATACTGAATGGTTTTCTATTCTTTGTGTATTTTGTGCTTAAAATTCTTACTGAATTCTAAATTGTTAATTTAATTTAATAATATATATGAATCACTAAACAAATGTATCAATATTATATGATTGAATTCTATTCAAAGACATAATTAACTATCATTTTTATTTAATGAATTCTAATCTAGGTTTACAATTATCAGAAATTAAACTAGTCTTAGCAACCATAGTTGACTCTGTTTAAACATCTATTTTTTATCTAAGGATTCTCTATTTCAGTCCTTATTTAACTGTAGTATTTTTCATAATTTTCTTCATTCATTTCCGTCTAAAATATATTTCAATTCTAATATTCCAATTATTTTGTTTTTGCAATAATATTAGAATTGCTGATTTTGGAATAAGTATTAATTTATAACTTATCAGCTGCCATATTATATGTTATTTAAATCATATGAGGTAATTTTGTTTATTCATTTGAGGATAAATGATAAAAAGGACTCAACTTTTATGTATCTGTCTTTATTTAATTACAAATTATTGCTATCTATTCATAAATGCATTAATTTTTAGAAGCAATTCTATTCAAACATAGTTAAAAAAAAGAATCGAAATTATCTGAAAAAATTTTATCATCAATTTCATTCACTGTAACTAATTAACAATATTATTTAAATTCATTAAATATTTCAATATCATTTTATAACATTACGATGTTGTGAGATCTTTTTAATTTTTTAATTCTATATAATCATCCAAATGTAATTAAGGATTATTATTATGATATTTTAAGAATGTCAATAATCATCTAAGCCTATTAATGTATTTATCTATCATATTATGAAGAATATTTATTATTATCTATTATTCATAATAAAAATAAGATTTCCATTTATTTATTAACTTCGGCTTATTTTAATAAAAATTACCTACTTTTAAATATTATTCTACTAGCTAATTATGTTTGCAAATTTATCTATTCTTCATACAATGTTAGGATTATCTCCTCAATTATGTTAACATCTTTATGATATAAACACTTTGTATTAATGAAATTTTGTAAAGATTAGTAATAATTTATTTTATTTTTCTAATTCTTTTTAATTGAATTAATAGATATAATAGATTATTACGATTTGAGAGAACTTTACTTGATTTATATTTGAAACACTCCTCCATTCTCTAAAAAAGAATATCTAAGACTCAATAATTAAATCTTCATTTTCATTTTCGAATCTTAGTTAATATCTATTTTCTAAATTTGATTTGTAAAAAATTCATTTAATTTTGTCATTGCTAAATAGTTTTTAATTATTATCATTTAATTGCAACTTGATTCTCATTTTAATCTTTTTTGTTATTTCAACTTTTCAATTTATGACTTTTAATCATGAATTTAAAGTTTTAATTTATAGATATTATCTTAAATTACTTAATATTCTTGCTTCTATTCTTCAATTTTGATTAGATTAATGTCATTTGATCCATTAAATCTAAAAAATATTTAATTATTAAATTCTTCCTCCAATATTTTATTGAAATCGTATAAGATACTTAATTTAGATTCTAAATGACTTAAGGATTGCATTCTTTGACTAAATAAAAAATAATCTCATTTGATATAAAAATATAAAATAATAAAGAGAAAAAAAAGAGTGTCATTAGGATTCGAACTTAAATATTTAATTATATTGTTTAATAATTTTTTGATTATTTAAGATAGGATTAGATATACATACATAGATTTATGTATAATTTACATGTATATGGTGGTATGTATAAATACATAAATTATATATAGAGGGAGTGAAAATATAAAATATTTCAGAGTATAATTGCATAATCAATGAAATCTCATCGTGGAGTGATTTATACAAATATCATCATAAAAATGTAATAATATATGAAATCAGAGTGGTGATGCAAATTGAATCAATATAGCTTATATAAAATATAAGTTAATTCATTAGCCGATTGATTTTCATCACAAATTTTAATTTTAATAATGATGAAAATAATTAATTTTAATATAATATGAAATACAGAATCAACCAAGTATTCTAATTTTTTGATTGATAATACCTTAAGCATCTTTAATAGCAATATCAATAGTATCTATTTCCCAATCATTAGTTTTTTTATTTTTTTTGCCTTTAACATAACAAATGCCAGCTTTATTTCCATACATATCAGTTTCGAATTCTGCTTGATCTCTAATTTATCCTCCTCTCAATTATTGATTGAATTGTATATTTTGACCAAATAACTTCTTGATTTAAGGATTAGTTTAGATAATAATTAATGATTATCTATGAATTTAAGTATTGAGTACACTTATTCTCTAAAGATTAATAATAATTATATAAATATACTCTATTAGTTTTAACATAATTATAAATAGCCATAGCTCCAATAATAGTACTAATAAGTGTAATATTTCTAACGCCTCCAACCTTTCTATATAATTCTTATTATCTATATCTTCTTGCTTCTTCAATTTCTTATTCAGTAGTTGGTACTTTAGGTTTACGTGCATCTATTTCTAATTTCAAATCATAAAGAGTTCTACGATCTGTTACTAATGGTGGAATCATTGTTTAAGACATATCTTTTTTTATTACTTAATTTGAATCTATCAAAACTATTCTAAAATCTCCTTATAATCCTATATCAGCGACAAGATGATCAATCTTCCACAATCTTATATCTGGTGTTAATTTCCAATTTTATAATGATTCTGTATCTTTATTATACTTCATCACATCTGTCATTTATTTTATTGATGGAATATAATATTGTGTTTTATTTTATATTTCTTACAATTCTCTTGATTATCCCATCAATTCTACTTTTGCTGCTCCTTTTGGACCAACTACTTAAAATGAATATTAACAAACATCTTCATTTTGTGTTGCATTACTACCCATATTTATTTAAAGTGATAATGGATATCCTGCCAATTAAATTATCTATTCATTATGTTACAATAATCTCAATGCTTCTTATACTATTGGATGATCATATTTTTATTTATGTAAATAACTTGTACCAAAATAACCTACACCAGAAAATCCTAAAAAACACAATAAAAAATTAGGTCCTGATCTAAATGGAAATGAATTCCTTAATTTATTAAACATTATTATTTTATATATTTTATACAATAATCAAACCATGTATTATCTTAATGTTATTTAATAAGTAATTTGATAATGTTAACCTATTTTCTTCTCATTAACTCTCATTTCTTCAATTCATAACTTAATATTTTTACATTTATATTTCTCCTTCGCTTAACCTGCATACAATAAACTCTATAATCCCATCACTATTTCCACTGCTACAAATATCACTAATACTACTGTAAATTATATTGTTTAAGATTAAGCTATCTTATCTTCATCTCCATATATATATGATTATGTTTACTCTATTTAACCATAATCAATCAATATTAATATTGTTATTATACCCCTTGTTATTACACAGGTGAATGTCAACATCATGAAAATTGTTAGCAATTATTCACTCTTTTATACCACACAAAAATACCCTAAATTCATCTACTTTATATCTTACCAACTAAACAAGTCAATAATTTTAATATATGCACCATCACCAATATTGTTATCAAATAATATACTGTGAATCCTTCCTTATTCCATCTAAAATAACCAAATAATGATGAATTATCGTAAAATTTCAAATTTGATTATCCTTCTATATTTACTATTGATGTCAAATTATATAGAGTTATTGCCTATTCTTTTCCAATAACCATACTAATTAAAGTGAATTTATAAGATTGAATAAACTGGCTTTTTCATTGAATTTCCCCCTATTTGATAACAACTTTTCAATTATCTTTTCCTTCTTTCTAGATCTTCTATTTGGTGAAGCTAATTCAAAATTTTCAGAAAATTAATATGGACTCATTCCTTCTTCTTAACTCTCACTCTCATTCCCAAATTGCTACATTAACATACTATTTGTATCTTGCATCTCTAAATGTTAATCTATTTCATCATTCATCCTTCTAAAATATTAATAATTATCTAATCAATATTTTACTATCAATTCTTCATTTATTTTATCAAATATATACAATATTCTACCAATAAAATTTATTTCATTTTTTATTTTCTCATTCTCAATTCTATTCATTATATTATCATTTTATATTTCATTAATTCCTAATCATATACAAAAAGTATCTCACTATATACTCATCTTTTAATGTTTACTAAAAAATTTATTTTTTTTTTATTCTTTAAAAAAAAGATTTATAGATCTCAAATATATTTTATTTTCTAAATGAACTATTAAATTGATCGATATTTAACTGAAAAAGTTGATCACTTTATTTATCTGAAAGTTGATCACTTTATTTAACTTTAATCATAATATTAATTACTCTATTTATATAATAATCAAACAACTATTTATGTTTGACTTTGGATTTTAAAATTGGTTTTATTCTCCTTAATTAAAATGCAAAGGACTTAATCATTTTGGCAATCGTTTTGAAAAACTTGATAATTTGTATTTCCTTCCCATCACTAATTCAACTGTGGATTAACTTCATTTATTATGTGAAAAATGTAGTTAATGCGAATCAACTCAAAGAATTAATTTAAATTCTACCTATAATTTTGCAATAACATGGTTTAAGTAATTTGAATTACACTATTTGGGATATTTAGTGAATAACACTTTAGTAACAAAAAAGCAAGCAAATGAAAATTAACAAAGAGAATTTGAACTAAAGCTTCAAGTGTTATCTAATTGTATAAATGATTTAAATCACAGTAAAATTGAATCATTCATCTTATCGATTTAGACTTCGAAAATGATATAAAATAATATGATTGATCAATAATATGAAGAGAAATAATTTTTAGCTTTTGTAAAATAGTAAAGCAATCAATTGTTTTCCTTAGCTTCTAGACACTTTTATAACATTTTTCTTAGAGCTGATGTCAAACTTAAATCATAAGAGGATTTTAATATAGTTCAAATTGATGTTTCAAAAGACTTCGTATTTTTATTAGAAAATTCACTTCTAGAGGATAAATTATCTTAAATTTCAGTCTATCAATATCCAAGTTTAGAGTATGTTGATTCCTTTTAGAAGGAAAACATGAGTGCTAAAGAAATAGTCATTAAATCAAACATTAATTCTAATTTATTATTGTTATAACATCGGAAATCATTAAGAGTACTAGATGTATTTGCTACAACTCAAAAAAAAGGAGAAAACATGCTTAAATTTCTTATTAATTATTTTTATAAACACAATTGTGAGATAATTGATTTTATTTTAGATGATAACATTATTGTATTTATAGATTAAGCTTATAAACTATTTTTTGTAGATGTTCTAAAATAGTAAGTTATTTTTTTAACTAAAAAATTGCAAAGCTTTTAAAAAACTAATTAAATTTTGGAAACCTTTTTTCATTATGATAAACAATTATTAATAATTGAATTATGTAATAAAGTACTTACGATGTCTTTAAAAAATATTAGAATCTAAAAAAGTAGTAAAATAGCATCAGAAAAGATTTTGGCTAAATCATATTTTTGTCAATAGAATAAGATAAAATATTCAGTATTGCAGTAATAAGATAATAATGATATTTCAATAAGAAATGAAATAGTAGAATATAGTTTTTAATGCAATAAAAGATTGCGGAAATTAAAATTGAATAATAGTAGAAAGTTTGGTAATGTAAAGTTGTCACTTAAAAAAGATTAAAGAACTTTAATAATTTTAACAAATGAATATATATCAGTTTATGATACTCAGAAAGGTATTTAGGCTTTTTGTTTACCATTTGCTTAAAAGTTTTCTGCTAATAATTATGATTTTTAGGGCTATTTTTTAGTTTAAAATCAAGGAAGACGTGTGTTGATTTGGAAGTAGGAAAAGCTTTTTGAGAGAGACATTAGGTTATTTTTTAAAAGACTTTGATATCTTATGATTAAGAATAAATAAAAAAAATTTTGAGTATTATAGATTATATATAAATTTTAAATAGTGAAATATTTTTGATACTAAATAATTTAGTAAAATGAAGTTTGCAGATAAATTAATATAATAATAAAATCCTCAAGTGCAAGGTCTTAGAATAATAAAGATGGGAGATAAGGATTATTAGAAATTATCTTAAGCTACTTAATAAATATAGATGTTGAGTCCAAGAATGAAATCAATAATTTCATCATTAAAAATGAGTGCAGCAAAATAAAATGCAATAAGTTTATCTTGTCCATAGATAGGATATAATTACTCAATATTTGTAATTCTGAGATCTCTAAAAAGAAATTAATGGAAGTAGGAAGATGCATAAGCTTGTGATTATATGGCATTTATAAATCCTTAGAAATTAAAAGAAAGCAAATATACATAGGTGGAATGGGAGGAATGCCCTTCATTTCCATATTTGATGGCAAAAGTAGAGAGGGCCTATAGAATTGATTTTTAATTTATGAATGAAAAGTTTAAATTAATAAAACATTCTTTAAGGTATATGAATATGTGTATATTGAAAATAGTGATTTTGAAGCAAGAGTAGTTTAACATGAGATAGATCATCTATAAGGTATAACATTAGATAAACCAGATGTATTATTGATAGAATCAAAGAGAGAGAGTTTTAAAAGTGATGATATAAATTTTGAAGGTTTGTAATAATAGTTGGCAGATTTAGAAATAGCTTCAATGAAGATGAAAATAGAATAATTTAAAAATAATAAATGATTATAATATAATTATATATTAATAAATTTTGATCATATCTTTTGATATATCTTTTGATGTATCTTAGAAAGTAAAGATGAAAACTAAAAGTACTCCCCTAAGAATATAGTTGAGGAATCTGGTGTAGAAAATGATTCTTGACATGTGATTGGGTATTAATTCTTTGAGTAGAGTATTGAGATCTAAAATATGATTGGTTGATTAATAAAATAAAAGAATATTGAAAGTGTTTTAAAATTGAACTGATTTATCTATTTAGATAATTAAATTAAACTTAAAATGTCATCAGGAGGAAAAGGAAAAGCAGGAAAAGGAGGAAAAGCAGCAGGAGCTCATAAATCAGTATCTAGATCACATAAAGCTGGTTTATAATTCCCAGTTGGAAGAGTGTCAAGATATTTGAAATAAGGAAGATATACAGAAAGAGTTGGTGCTGGTGCTCCAGTTTATTTATCAGCTGTCCTTGAATATTTGGCTGCTGAAGTTTTAGAACTTGCTGGAAATGCTGCCAAAGATAATAAGAAGAATAGAATTAATCCAAGACACATTCTCTTAGCTATAAGAAATGATGATGAATTAAACAAATTGATGGCTAATACAACCATTGCTGATGGAGGTGTCTTACCTAACATTCATCCACATTTATATTCAGCTAAGGAAGATCCAAGCCAAGCTGTTTGATTTAATTTTTATTAGTCAAATAATTAATATCAATATTGATAATAATTAATCTAAATTATTTTGAATTCTATTCATTCTCCTATTTCTTCCTATTTTTATAAGGCAAAATCATATTCCTTTATATTAGTTAAACTATATTTCATCTATTTATCAAGCCATCATTGATAAAATCCATGAACAAGATTTCTTATAAATTATTATAAATATAATATTATTGATTTAAATTCTTGTCTATCTTATAATATTTGAACTAATCCACTTCTATAATCATTAAATAAAGGATA